CTGACTGTGCAGACTTGAGGTCACGTGGCATTACCAGTTGCTGTCGTTCTGCCATTACCAATGTCATGCGGTATGCTTCCTGGCCCACGGAAGGCTGGACGGCTATTGCACCAGCTGTCCGTACTAGACGAGCACATCAAACAATGCCTATTGTGTCACTATCCCCCATCACTGCCCCGCCTGCCTCCTGTGGGCCACTTCCACAGGGGACTGAAGGCATGCCATTTTATTCCTACACTGCCGAAGTGCCAAATACAGAAGTACGGAGGGCCCGATGCCAACCCCGGATATCACACCAGGACGAGACAGTCCGAGTTTGGCCATTCCAGCACCGAATGCAGAGTCAGACAACAGATAACAACTAAGCTTTATTAAGACAGGTTACAGAAAATAGACGACTAGAAAGACTAGAGAAAGTCGAGGTCCAAATCGCTTGACGAGTGATGTTAGATTGCCTTTATCTTTGGTGTTGCCTACAATAGGACGCCGTCTCTTATATATGAGAAGACAACAACAACGGCGACGCGAGGATCGACATTGCGGGCCGACGGCATCCATGCAAGTAAGTGAAGCGCGCGGGCACCGCGCGGGTGGTTGGGTTGGTTCGGCCTTGAGTAGAGGCACCTGAACAGCGGGTTCTGTTGCTTGTCGGTGGGCGGGGTGAATTCTAGTTGGGTTCGCGAGGTCCGTAGGTCAGTAGGAAGGGTGGTTTTATCTCGGCCTCCCGCAGTTGGCGAGGCTTTAGCTGGGAGTCCGTTTTGCCGGGAGTAGCTCTTGGTTGACAAGTTGTTGCGAGGGGCTTGGTCGGCGCCCTTTGTCTTGAGTTCGCCTGATTTACCCTGGTATCCTCGCGAGTCGCCAGATAGCCCGGTGCAGGATACTTACCAACATAACAGCTACCCTACGTGCGAAGGCGTAAAGAACAATGAGCAAAACAGGTACACAGGATGGCGTCAAGAAGTCGGCAAGCAAACGAAAGTTGAAGTCAAGACGCGTGGACGACCCGGAGCATATCGGACGTGTGGAAGGCGCTACAGCTACATCATAAAGCCGCCGCGGCGGTCCGCTAAGTGCGGCACAAATGCATGACATGCGGCTGCGGAAGGCAGTGCGCTTAGGAAGCCCGCCGCGGCGGCACGCCGAATCGAAGGCGTTGATTTAGGAGCATATAGGCAGCGGCCGCGGAAGGCGGTGCGCTTGTAGAAAAGCCGCTGCGGCGGTCCGCTAAGTGCGGCACAAATGCATGACATGCGGCTGCGGAAGGCAGTGCGCTTAGGAAGCCCGCCGCGGCGGCACGCCGAATCGAAGGCGTTGATTTAGGAGCATATAGGCAGCGGCCGCGGAAGGCGGTGCGCTTGTAGAAAAGCCGCTGCGGCGGTCCGCTAAGTGCGGCACAAATGCATGACATGCGGCTGCGGAAGGCAGTGCGCTTAGGAAGCCCGCCGCGGCGGCACGCCGAATCGAAGGCGTTGATTTAGGAGCATATAGGCAGCGGCCGCGGAAGGCGGTGCGCTTGTAGAAAAGCCGCTGCGGCGGTCCGCTAAGTGCGGCACAAATGCATGACATGCGGCTGCGGAAGGCAGTGCGCTTAGGAAGCCCGCCGCGGCGGCACGCCGAATCGAAGGCGTTGATTTAGGAGCATATAGGCAGCGGCCGCGGAAGGCGGTGCGCTTGTAGAAAAGCCGCTGCGGCGGTCCGCTAAGTGCGGCACAAATGCATGACATGCGGCTGCGGAAGGCAGTGCGCTTAGGAAGCCCGCCGCGGCGGCACGCCGAATCGAAGGCGTTGATTTAGGAGCATATAGGCAGCGGCCGCGGAAGGCGGTGCGCTTGTAGAAAAGCCGCTGCGGCGGTCCGCTAAGTGCGGCAGGAAATGCATGACATGGGGCTCTGAACGCCTGCGCAAGGATGCTGGAATGTATATGGTCTCAACGCAACTCTATTGTTCTCTTTGGCCGTAAGTATACTTCATCACTCGTCTCGTTGGAAGTGCGAGGTAGGATGGTGCTTATAGGCGATTTGGCAGCCCTTGAGCCCTCGGCTCGTACTAGGGTGGTTTGCAGGTACGGGGAACGCAGCCACGACCATGTAACAACAACAACAAGTGCGACACAAAAATGCATGACAAGCGGCTGCGGAAGGCAGTGCGGTTAGGAAGCCCGCCGCGGCGGCACGCCGAATGGAAGGCGTTGGGATTTAGGAATATATCGACAGCAGCCGCGGAAGGCGGTGCACCTGTAGAAAAGCCGCTGCGGCGGTCTGCTAAGGGCGGCACAAAATGCATGACAAACGGCTGCGGAAGGCAGTGCGCTTAGGGAGCCCGCCGCGGCGGCAAGCCGAACTGAAGGCGTTGATTTAGGCGCATATAGAAGGTGACAGCGGAGGGCGGTACACTTGTAGAAACACCGCTGCGGCGGTCCGATAGTGCGGCACCAATTGCATGATAAGAGGCTGCAGAAGGCAGCGCACTTAGGAAGCCCGCCGAGGCGGCACACCGAACTGACGGCTTTGTGATTTAAGAGTGTGTAGATGGCGACCACGGAAGGCGGCCTGCTTGTAGAAAAGCTGCTGCGGCAGTCCTTGGGGTGCGGCACAAAATGCATGACAAGCGACTGCGGAAAGCAGCACGATTAAGAAGCCCGCCGCGGCAGCACGCCGAACTGAAGGCGTTGTGACCTAGGAGGACATAGATAGCGACCGCGGAAGGCGGTGCGCTTGTAGGAAACTGCTGTGGTGGTCCGCAAAGCGCGGCACAAAATGCATGACGAGCGGTGGTGAAAGGCAACGCGATTAGGAAGCCTGCCGCGGCGGCACGCCAAACCGAAGGTGTTTGGTAGGGGAACTTGTAGACAGCGACCACAGAAGGCATTGCACTTGTAGCAAACCGCGGCGGTGGTCCGCTGAGTTCTGTTCACAAGAGGCTGCAGGAGGTAGCGTTCTTGAGTAACCCGCAGTGATGGCTTGCCGGATTACAGGTGTGGCGATGTAGGAGTATGTCAACAACGATCACAGAAGGCGGCGCACTGGTAGAAGGGAGACGGGGAGGGACACGTCTCAGACACGGGACCAGGAGTACCAGACACGAAGCGGGGCACAGAACGAGCCACAGCTATTAGAAGGCCGTTACTGTTACCCATAAAACCCCATAAAGGGTCGACCCACCGATGGAGACCATAAGGGTAGTTGCCCGAGGAAGGCGTGGGAAAGCCAGAAATAAACGCGGTAATCGTACCCAACGCCCTTGCCTGGGAATGTTTTTCAGCTAGGCGGCTGCCGAAGGCATTAGCATCTTTCTGTATGAGGAGGGGCGAAGGTCGATTCGAACGTCATTGGTTGGGCCATCAGGAAACCAGAAGCAAGGATGTCGTGAGGAGAGAAGGGCGCTCCAAAAAGGTCAAGGCATGCCCAGATGCAGGCTACAGAAGTACCAGAGAGGGCCGCTAGACTGCCGGGGCCAGTCAAGGTTACCCTGTTAAATTGCAAAGCACGGCCATGGGAGTGGAGGAAAATTGGCCGAGAAATACCGGAGCAGTCAGCTTCCCCGAGCAGTGGGGAATCGGTGAGTGGCAGTGACGAAAATATGTAACCCGGGCGGATGACTAGGGCCAGGGGGCGGAATCGGAGGGCATACGCCAGGCTAGGGCCGAAGGGTCATCTGCTGCCGGCAGACAAGCGGAAAGGGACATCCGGTCCGAATCCAGGGGCCCGGTCGGGCAACAAGTGGATTGGAGAGCCTTGGGGAAAGATGTTGGCTGCAAAACAGGGAGACAAGGCCACGTCACTCAGAGGCACGTTCGAGCCCAATGCGGCCCCAGACCCAGGAGTGATAGTGGCATTACGAATCGAAGAATTTTTGGGGCTCCGAGGACGGCCGTCAACTTGGGTGGGGCGGCGCAAAGAACTTATGGCGATCGGTTTGGCGGACATGCTGGAACAGTTGGTTCTAGCGAGTAGGGCAGGATCTCTGCGATGGATGCACGAATCGCTGTAGGCGAGGCTACGATGTGGACTGACACCCCTTATCGAAGAGATAGCAGACCAACTGGCGGCAGCCTTCCGAACAGCAGCGGGAACCTATCAGGGCATGAGTCCAGTTTTGGGGGAAAGTGTCCAGTTCCACAATTGATGACTACCACGTGTCGGAGGAGCAATGCGGGGCCAACTTAGGTGACTGATAACGAGTGCCCGGGTGCGCCACCCGGGGGTGGTTGGGGGGACGCGGAGACGAGAGTGAGAGAGTTGGAGATACGAAATGGGGAGAGTTTACGGTGGGAGCAGGAGTAAGGCGAGGCAGAGAGGGGGGCGCGCGGAGCGCGGGTGGCTGGGGTGTTTTAGGTTGGCAGGGGGATGGAGGGTGGGACGCCGTGCGTGGTGCGTGGGGCTCGCTTAGGCTGAGAGCGTTACAAAGGTTGTAAGTGAGCCCTTCGTATCATACGGATGCTCGCCCCAACTAATCCGGCCCTTACGGTGGCGGGCTCTTTGACTTCAGAAATGCCGACATCGCTATTGCATGCAAAAGCAGTAAACATTTTTACATTAAACATTTTAAAAATTTTAAAATATTTTTGTTAAGCATTTTTAAAATGTTTTTGGTTAGACATTTTTTTGTCAAACATTTTTTAAAACTTTTTTGTTATTATAAATAGAAAACCTAATCTGGCCTATCGATCTGTGTTTGTCCCGGAATGCAGGCACAGTTTAGTATAATCTGTTATGTATATTCGGCGTTGCTACCTGTTGTAAAACGGAAATTGACTGCGGTGTTGGATCACGCTGGTGAGAAAGGGGTTTGCAGCCGATGACTCGCCAAAGCACGTTAGTTATTGCTCCAGAATACTGCCATTTTCCGTTACAGATAACGAGGGACTGAAAAGGGCCCGAAGAAGACGGGCCTTACGAACAATGAGGTCCGCTACGAAACAGTTAGTCTAACAGTTAAGCCGAACTCACCCAGCTTTCTTAACGCACGCTCGCAGTAAAATCAAAGTAATAATTATCACATCGCTCCTCAATAATATATTTGCCTATAAGAACGTCCTCAGGGTGCATGCAGCTGGCAGGGCCATTTACGCGAGCTCGCAATGTCTGAACCCGCTGGCAACAAATTAGCAGAACCTTTACCTTCCGCAACATCAGAAGGTAGAGCGGCAAATGGTGAACGACGTAACAGGACTTGCTGGACCTGCGGAGCTATCGAAGAGCCTGGCAAGAAGCTCCTGCGTTGCTCCGGATGCCTCTCGGTGTGCTTCTGCAACGCCATTTGTCAAAAGTCGGCATGGAAGCAGCACAAACCAGACTGCATACGCTGCAAAAAAGTCGACATCTACGCGGCATCCCCACTGCTAGCTGCGGTAGCCTTCCTCCCACGCATGCCTATCCCCATCAAGATGCTCTCATACGAGGTCTACAGGCGGGAGCTTCGTGGCCGCGAGCTTCACCTTTACCTTCGAAACCAAGGCCGCATGCGCGTCAGCCCGGCGGATTTTGACAAGAGCGGCCCCATCCCTGAAGGGCCTTCACGGGAACAGCTTCACAACATGGTAGGGCTAGTAAAGAAACCCCTGTGAGTAGTGCGGAAGGCGGCGATGGACTCTAGGTGGACTCCAGGTCCATGGGGCAGGCAAAAACCTGCAGCAAAACGTCGCTCCCAGGCACTAACGGGAAATGGGCAACGGCGCGTCTGCGACATCCTTTCACCACCCTCGTCCCTCTCCCCGCCCAGGTCCAGCACGACGGCTACCTAGAGGCGACCGTGGTAGGGTCCTTGTACGGTTTCCATTGCGCCGTACAGCATTACAACAATCGTGGAGGAGGACATGCCGCGCAGCAAAACGCGCTTGACTACGTCACGCTTATTCATCGCAAGGCTAAGATCACTGAGTACGGCATTGCTGTCGGATCCACCTGCCCCGACTACACTCTCGTGTACCACATTGGCGACAAGGTGCGCCCGCCATCTCCACTCCACCCGCTTGAACTCAGTTCCGCAGTCCTCCCTCTGCAACATTCTCTCCGGCTATCCCGCCACATGGCCGTGGCATTGTTTGCCAGCCCCGGTGCGTCTTGGAATGTTTGGATCGTTCTCCCAATGCTCCCTCTCCTCACTCACCCTGCCCGCAGTGCCCCCCGCTGCCTTCCCTCCTGCAGTACCATTTCCACTTTTGCCCATTTCCATAGCCGCCGAGAGCTAATGTCGATGCGTGCGCCTTCCTCAGCACGCAGGTACGGCAACTTCAGGACCCCGATAACCATGTGTGGATGTACTTCCGTACGGTGAGCCCCTTGTCCGCACCTCTGTGCGCCGGTGCGTCTCCAGTGAGGCAGTTGTCTGACGTCGTACGGATGTACGTCGTGATGTATATTGTGATGCGACTGCAAAAAGCAGCGCAAACACCAGTGCAGTGGAGTGCAGTGCGTCAGTTGCCGCTCTCCCCCTAGCTCTAGCGCTCTAGCTCGGACACGCAAGATATTACCAGAGACAGCGGGTACCACCAGAGTCCGGCACACAGCACCGGAGAAGGAGCTCGCTTGCACGTGCTGCTCCCTTTGGGAATTTCTCCTCGTGTCAATACCGTACTACAAGTGGACGAGCATGTGTGGTATGTGCATCTGATCCGATTGAGATGTGTTGAAGTGGGTTTCCGCCGGTGTGCTGTTCTCCGCAGGAACGGTCCGATCGGCTGTACCTGGATGTGGGGTCACTGCCGTACGGCATGGGCCTTATGCTCAATATCATTCACTACCTGCCAGACCGGGTGAGAGCTGTGCATGGACGGCATGTGTGGAGGACTTGTGGGGCATGAGGACCGGAGGGTCTTAGGGTTGGGGAGTGGCGCGGAAGGTCGGGTTTCGGGATTTTTTCGGGTTTCTCATTTTTTCGCCCTCCCCGTTTTGTCGCCGCCCAGGGAGGGGGTTTGGGGCATTGTATAATGATTGGCACAGTAGTGCTCCTGCGGTGGACGGCGTTGTGGCAATTATCCACTCCTCCTTTAACCATGTATTTCGCTGGGTTGTCACAGGTGTGAGTTGCTGGCGATGTGAATGAAATGTGGCCCTTGCGTGCTGTGTGGGGCTCCCCCCATCTCTTCCCTTCCCTGGACTTCCCTGTCTCCCTCTCCCACCACCGTTGCTTTCGTATAGCTCTCCCCCCTTCCTCCCGAGCTCGTCCATGCACCCTATTCCGACACCAACCCATCCAACCTCACGTCCCTCTGTTCCCTTTCCCCTCTTCCCGCCCCTATGATTTCTGCACCCTGTGATTTCCGCCCCGCTGCTGCTGCGGCCTCAAGACTCCGGAGTCCCAGATCCGCAGCTTCACCCCCACCCTGGGCGCCCCCGGGCTCGTGATGGACCTCAGCGACCTGGCCGCCATGGAGCGCATCCAGGCGGGGTCGGTGGAGAGCCTCAAGAAGAACTACCTGGCGGTGCGTTGGAGAAGGGGAGGAGGAGGGGGAGTTGCTAGGGGCCGATGCTTGGGGAGGAGGAAAAGGGAGGTTTAGTGGTTTGGGGGTAAGGAAATTATGGAAAGGTAGAATCTGTGTGGCGATTGCCTGGCCGGGGGTTGCCTGACGGGGGGTTCTACACGTCACATGACATCACACCACTTCGCCTGGATCCGGACTCTTGTCCATTTCCCCCTCAACCTGGGCCTGTAGAGACATATATCGTTTGATGGGCTGTTTACTTTGGAGACTTATGAACGCATGTATGCATATATGTGTACATTCATTGCCGTTTGCGCTGTGCGCTTCTCCCTCACTTCCTTTCCCCCTGTCATCCTTCCTATCTACAAGAAACGACACGGGCCGTCCCTGTACGGCTGTACGGCTGCAGGATCGTCACCGCATCGCCGTGAGTGGAGCTCCGGTTGACGAGGATCCCGAGAAGGCCATTCGCGGACTGCTGCAGCAGCTACAGCACGCAGTGGCGGCGCGGCCGTCGGCAGCGGCCAAGACCACGGCCGTGATGGGTATGGTGGCGGCGGCGGCTGTCGTTACTGCGGCGGCGGTGGCCGTCCCAACGGAAGCCAAGGGTGGCGGCGGCGGCGGCGGCTCGCCGTCCCGTATTCGTGGCGGCGGCGGCAACCCTGCTGTGCGCGGCGGCTCCCCGGGCGGTAGCAACTCGCGACGTATTCCCTTCCGCGATAGCACACTTGACAAGCACGTGAAGAGGGCGATGCTGCATTTTGAGTGCGCTTTTAACAACACGTACGCGGTGCTGGATCAGGTGTGTGCGTGCAGGGCTGTGTGCGGGTGTGTCTGGAGGAGGGTGTGCAGGTGTCTGGTAAGGCTTGACACCGCACCACATAATCCGATGCCGATTTCTTTCCTCTTGGGCGTCAGGTGCTTACCGCGTTTGCACCGGAATGATTTAATTTCAATATCCCGGGCCTGGGGTGTTGTCTCTGCTCCTATCCTCTTACCTTCCGCCTTTGCGCTCTCTCCCTTATCCTCGTGCTTTCCGGACTTTTTGTCTCAATAGCCATCGGGATTACCCCCCAACCCGAACCCCGGCCCCCCAGGCTACCTACGCGCGCTACCCGCCCTCCCCGGACAGCGCTCGAAGCTTCGCCTCCTGGGTCAATCTGCCGGCTATGGGGCTGGCACCCGCACGCAGGGCGAGGTAGTGTAGATTTCCGCAGGCGGGGACCCATCTGCGGATGTGAGGACTGGTAGTCCCTGTTGGCTTTGGGGCTGGGAAGGAAGAAAAACCCTAAGTAGGGAAAGAGGACATGTCACTCTGCTTGTGCTAGTTGCTTTAGTATAGTTTTACCGTAGGCCAACGGTCCTAGCTGCAAATTGCTAGACCCTAGTGCGAGTCCGGAGTTGACTTGTGTGTGTGCGTGTGAATTAATGTGTGTGAATACGTTTGTATAGGAGAGGGGTGTGATGAGCCATTCCCTCCTGCTCGTCCAAGGGTGCTCAACCCGGTGTCTCTACCTCATGTAATTGATCAAAAACGAGTGCGCGATGGCTACGAAGGCCCTCTCACAACCAACCTCAGCACGCGCTGCAGCACAGTTCCGCCCAGGCAGGCTGCACCATTTGGAGGTGGGGCTTCCCACCCTGGGTGGGTCCATGCAACACCTGGCGCCCCTGCCCGGCTCATGTGTCTGAAGGGAACGCGGTGGGCGCCGGGAGGCAAAGCATGCATACGTGCGTGTACTTGAGCCCGCAAGCGCATGTGCATGGGGCAACACGGCCGACCACCTGACGCAAGCCGGGGGGGTTGTGATCGATTAGCCAGCGAAATGAACAGAAGATTGAACGAGTCAAGTGAGGCTCAGCTTGGAGGGGTGTGAGAACTTGAAGCTGCGAAACCCAGTCGTTACCTCTTTTAGTAAGTAGTGCCAATGTTGCTGCTGCTGTCGCTGCTGCTGCTGCTACGATGCTGTACGGCGGCGATGAGTTGTGATTGGCTTTCATTGGCTTTCCCGTTAACGGCGGCCACACGGACATGGTCTTTTATTATGTCTCTCAATTTGAAAACGTATGAATACTTTTTTCCGCAACCGGCTGTGAACTGGGCTGCCTCCATTCCGGACGGCAGCGGACCACACAGCCGCTGTGTCCTCACCCTCAACAGCCGCAGGAGCAACAGCGAGGGCAGCAGTCGGCATGGGAGAGGCACCACAGCCGCAGCCATACCCAGTATCAAGATTTGCTCCTCCCCGCACCACACTGGCAACTGGATCCCCCCGCCTTGCAGTGCTGCAGTGCTGCCGCCAACCGGATTCGGGTTGGGGTGTATGTATGTAGCCAGCCAGTCGCGTGGGGGAAAGGGCCGTCGCCGGTACGTAAGTACTCATCCATGGCCTCCCCCCAGCTCTCTCTAAAACACGTAGGCGATGTTTCCTTGGTGTGACGCAACGGTTGTGTGGGGTCGCCACCCGGAGAACAATAAAGGAAATGTGGGTTCCTGGGATCCAACCCAACCTCTTCTTCCTCCACCTAGGGGGGCCCTACGGCGGTGCACTGCTTTCGAAGCATCCTCCCAAACCAAAACGCACACACACACATGCTCCCTCAGCTTGCCCTCTCGCCCGAGCTCTCTCACTCAAGTAGTACTAACCCGGGTGACCCGAGTAGCGCGAGGGACCGCGCCGCTGTCCTGCCCTCCAAAAACCAACCACTGCCGCTGCTGCTGCAGCTGCTGCTGCTGCTCCCATGCGCAGGCGCCCCTCCACCCGCGGGATTCGTCAGTCAGTACCCAGGCTTGCGCCGGGGGCCTGTCGCTGCTGGGCTTCGCTGGTGGTGGTGGTGGTGGTGCTGCTGCTGCTACTGCTGCTGACGCTATTGCTGCGGAGGCGGCGGTGACGGCGACTTGGCTCGCGTCTTGGAGTAGTCCCTGGCTCCGAAGATGGTGCTGCCCACGCGGATGTTGGTGCTGCCCATTTCGATCTGGGTCAAACCATCACCAGCGGGCGCAAGAACAAAAGCAGCGATTGACACGCGTGTGTTATACGACATGTGTAGTACGACATCTCTCCCGACAGGGTTATACCATCACTCAATAACCACCCTCGGACTAAGCCCCTAAGGCCCCCGACGACCCACCGCCTGCTCGAAGTCCCCCGACATGCCCATGCTGAGCTCCAAATGCTCCGGAACCATGCCCAGCTCAGCTGCCACTTTCATACGGCAGTCTGCCAGGCACTCGAAGTTTTCCGGTCGAGAGGAGTAGTCGGGCATGCCGATGGTCATAAGGCCCGCCAGGCGGAGCTTTGGACAGCTCTGGAATGGAAAGAAGATGCGGCGGGGGGGATTAGGGTGTGGAGAGGTGTTTTGAAAACAGAGTTTGGGAAAGGAAGCCAAACGTGGTTGCGAACGCCCCCCCCTAAGTGGAAAGCTTCAACGGAGGATACCGAACCGACACCAGCTACTGCTACAGCTACTGCCGGCCAGAATTAGCACGGGGGTTTGCGAGTAGGAACGGCGGGGGGGGGGAAGGGGTAAAACAATGGGTGCCATACATTGGTGCGCGCGCGTCGTAATGAACGTGTATGGCCATGCCGTGTACGTCCGCGGCACGTGCAAACCCCCGGCAGTCTACCCCCCCAGATGGGCCCGTCCACCAGTTTTCCGACCTGTACGATGTGTTTTGCCAGCGCCACGCATTCCCCCGGCTCCACTCCGAACTTCGACTCCTCCCCACTCGTGTTGACCTGGACGGGACGTGTACGGCGAGTGTACCGTACCGTGTACGGCGGGCAGCCAGCCAGCAACAGTGGGGGCAGTGGTGCAGCAGCACGGGTGACTAGGATACCATAGCAGGGTGGCAGCACACAGCGTGTTGAGTGTTGGCCCCTCGCTGTCTCACTCCTAGAGGGCATCCGCTGGGAGCTGAGCTGAGCACGTCCACCCCCCCCTTCACTTGCACGTTGCACGTTGCACCTGCACCACCCTCGTCCACCCCGCACCTGGACCATGACCGCCAGCGGCTGTGTGCGGCCCGCCACCTCCACCGCCCGGTTGAGTTTGTCAGCCAGCTGCGGGGCGGGGAGGGGGGTAGCCAGGACGAGACACGGAACGAAAGAGAGGGTGGGAGGTGTATTGTCAGCTTCCCTCCCTCTGTCTCCCTTCGTTTGGAAAAAGCGGATGGCGCGGACGAGATCCCATTTTAAGACCGTACGGTGTGCTCCAACACACCGTTACACCCCAACCGCAAACCCAACCGATTTCGATTCCGACGTGAATCCATAAACTTGCAAAATAATCCCTGATGCCGATAAAACCCAAACCCAGAAATTAGAACCCCCTCACCCCCCCCCGAGTACGACATTACGGCACACAAAAGGTCGACCACAACTACACTCGGGCGCCCCAATGGAACCACCTTTGTCGAGTCGACCGTTTCCACCATGGCGAGGTTGGGCACATTCTCTGTACGACAGGAGTACGGCGGAGGAAGGATGGATGGGTGGTGTGATGTGGGTCGTGGGGGATGTGGGTCGGATACTGCCGCGTACCTACCGGTCTGCCCCGTGCTCGGCCCCGTTACGGGTCCCGGCAAACCCCCCGGCAGTAAGAAACACGCATGGTCCTAGATGCCATGCCGTACCCAGCGGCCGTACCCTCCCAGTCCTTTCGGTTCTCACCCACTACGGCCTTGACTTTATTTGATTGTAGGTGACCAATGAAATGCCACTGAACGTCGGAAGGCAGCGCCGGGGCCTTATCCAGCATCTCCTGCACCGGTACGGCGGCGTACGGCAGGCAAGCTCATTCATCATTTTGGCAGCAGCGGACCTGCAAAGGGCCCCCCCATCTGGCTGTCGTAGATTCCTCCTGTCCACATACCATCGTACCTGGGACCCCTACGTGCCGATTCCCACGGTTTTATCTGTCCAGGGAGCCCCCCAGGAGCCCCCATTGGCGCCACTTGCTTCTTATCTGAATCTGTATACCCTCGATTACCTGTAATAACTTCCTGTAATGCCCTCGTAAGGAAACACCACAGACCAGCAGGCTTTTGCTTCCTTCCTGCTGCCACACACCCCCACCTGCACATAGTTTTCTCCGAACACTCGCTGCCCCGCGTCGTAAGCCTCCTGAAGCGCCTCCACAGGCTTGGTCTTGCTGACAGCCACCAGGCGGACCTGGAGCAGGGAGGTTTACCGTGTTTGAGTGTGTGGGGCCATGTGTACCCGTGTTCGTGTGCCTGAATGTATGTGCGTTTGGGGCGGGGGTATGTGTAAGATGGTACACAGGTTTGGTCGCCAGAAGCAGGGACTTTGCAGGTGTACGGAGAGTAATGAGTTGATATAAAGGGACTGATGCTCTCGGGTTGAGTTAAGGAGGTCGCGATTGGCGTGAGGCCGCGACCGCAAGGCGCACACGGGCTGGTGATGGCCTACCGACTGTGTCCTGCCAGCACGTTCCGACGCCTGTTTCATACGTGTGAGTACATCTTGAAGAGCTGTCGACACCGGCCTCTCAGCCATGGTACTGGCGCTGCGCGCCAAGACCTGGACCGCGACTCTTCGCGACGATGAAAGGAGCAGCACCGTTGCCATGTACCGCGCTGCCACGCGCGCCGAAGCAGTAGAATGTTAGATACACTTCTTGTGATGCATACCAGATGCTCTGTAGGTCCCGGTAGGTTTGGGTAGGACAACGAACGTCAACAAACCGAACCAACCCCATAATGCACGGCAACCGCAATATCGCAAGCTTGTAAGCACAAGTCCCATCAAGTGGAAGAAGACAAATTGTGAGTCTTAATAGCGATCTGTAATTCAAGGGAATCATGAACCATCTATGCACGCAGGCATACTTTTTCGCGTCGCTCGAGCGTCTTGCCACGCCACATCGCTTTGCCCAATCCTTATGAATTTACAACTCCTGCGCTCCAGGCCGTATGCTCACAGCAGCCGCTGCAGCAGCGGTGCTTGGGCCGGCTGTCTTTGCCAACCATCAACCCACCCTACGCCTCAGTCATGGCATAGACCCATACCCCTATGTGCCCTTTGCTGTGATGTGACCATTAAATCTTCAGTATCTGCACCGAGTAGCGCGTGCTGTCACACCATCAGGGGTGCATACAGACTGCCATGCCGCAGCATCGCTGCGGCCTCCGCAGCGCCCAGCCGTAGCGGCGCATCCCTCAGCGTTTATGCCGGTCCCAGCGTCGTCAAACGGGGAGCCCCTGCTCGCTGGAAGCAGCTGCTGGCTTTCACAACAGCAGTTTCCCGTTCGCTTCCATCGCCATTCAGTTCCGCCACAGCGACCCTTGCCACAGCATCCGGGTCCTCTCCGACCTCAGCATCTGCGTCGATAACGGAGAGCCTAGGAGTACTTAAGCGCAAGGCAGGTGGGAAGAACGGTACTGTCCTGGATGCACGCCCGTGGTGATTGGGAGGCGCTGTGCGGGGTGTTCGGAAGAGCCGTGGTCCTCAATGTGGCCATGGAGTCGTCGGAATGCTCCCCCCACCCCCTAAACCCCCACCCCTTCATTCCCGGCCCACTGTGTGGTGATGAAGGCCAGACCCCACGCAGGCACACAGGAGAGCTGTGGGGTTCACCTTCCCGACGTGATGTGAACTTCTTCCTCTTTCCCCTCCTCGCAACTGCCAAGGCAAACGAGCAGCAATCTTAATTTGCCAACTGGCCGTTCTCAGAATTCAAATCCTTACCAATCCGGGGGGAACTACAGCTACAGCTTGAGCTACAGCTGCAGTGATTCCCAACCATTCCAACCCAATTCCGGGCAGGTTTCGGAGGCGGCATCCCGCTTATCGGCCGTCCTGGAGGTGGCTGACGTGGCGGGTTGTCGTGCCAAGCTGGCCTCCCTGGAGCATGATGCGGCGGGTAACGGGCTGTGGGGGGATGCTACCCGGGCACAGAAGCTGCTGGCGGAGATCGGCACACTCAGGTGTGTAGTCAGGAGCAGTAGTGGGGGGTAGCTGTGCTTTATAAAACTGAGTCCCATGAAGCGGAAAGGCCGTACGGTTACCGCAGCCGCCGGCGAGAGACCCTACGGTGGCGGTGCGGGCAGGTCGGAAGGTTGGATCTGGTTGGGCTCTCTGGATCCAGATCTGGCCGTGCTGTGAGGGTGGGTCGCTTGATGCCAGGCCGGCTGCTAGACTTCCCCTGTCACCCGCAAACCCCAACCGAAAAGCCCCTGGTGGAGCAAGGAAACCTCAAACCCCAAACAACCTCCAACCTCCACGCAACCTCCACGCGCTAACCCGTCCTGCTTTCCAACGCACATACACACACACGCGCGCGCGCGGAAAGAGCAACCTTTTAGAGTTCTTTTCCCCCCATCTCTCTCTCCTCCCCCCGGGGAGGTGGTTTCAAGCAGCGCCCTCCATACCTTCGCAGATCCGAGATCCAGGAGTTGGATCGGTTCGGGAGCCTGTTGGAGGAGTGCCTCTTCGCGGTGGAGCTGTTGGAAGCCGAGGTGGGCCCCGGAGGCGGTGGGGGGTGGGAAGGGGCAGGAGGGGGGGCGCCCGGGGGGGGACCTGGACTGGGATTAGGAATAGACAGACAGACGGACAAACACACGGGACTGCATTTTATATGTGTCTGTGTCTGTGCGTGTTTTAGGAATGGGAGCATCGTTTGAGGGAGCACTCTTAACGCGTTGTGTTTGTGTGTTCTTGTGTATGGCCCATCCGCACCACCATCGGGCCTCACCACCACCACCACCACCACCACCAAGCCCAGGCGTCACCCTGTAGCAGCAGTAGCAATAATGGCGACGGCAGCAGCAGTAGCAGCAGTGAAGGCGGCCTTGGTCTGAATGGCGATCAGGCGCTCATCGCCCGGGAGGCGGCCACCAGCTTGCGACAACTCAACCAGGGACTGGATGGGTGAGCGGGAGGGGAGATGAGGGTGGGAGGGCGGGCGGGGGAAGAGGGAACGGTCAGGCGCACCCGCCCGTTTCGGCCGGCCATGGCTGCACCCGGTAGTTTGGAGGCGAGTCTTGGGCTCCTTAACTACCTGCCCCCTCCTTCCCTCGATGACTCCCATATCCCAGTTCGTGTTTCTGCTCTCACTCCTCCTCCGCCGTCACCAGCACTAACGGCTTTGGCATTGCCCCCACCATCATCACAACAATCAGGTAACGACCATCTTTCATGCGGTTAGAATAACCCCGCACCCGCTCACAACCCCACATGTTTACAACTCCCGTCCTGGCACATCATTCGGTTGATTGGCAGTTGGGAGTTGCGGCGGTTGCTGAGTGGGCCCTATGACGACCGGGGGGCCCGGCTGGTCATCTCCGCCGGGGCGGGGGGTGTGGACGCCATGGACTGGGCTGAGATGCTGGAGAGGATGTACCTGCGGTGAGGTTGGGGAGAGGGGAGGGGGGAGATGGCGGGGGAAGAGGTGTATGGAGATACATTGGGATACGAAGGTGGAGAGTGAGGGAAGGGGAGGAAGCGCGGGAATCGGCCGCGCTGTGTTTTGTACGGCGGAACACACACGACTATGGCTGAATGGATGCTCTTCCACACTCCCGCGCTGCACTCACCAGTTCTCCTGTCACCACTGCGCAAACTCCCCCCTCCCCTCGGCCCCTCCCTCCCCCAATCCTCACAAACCCCAATAACAACACACATCCGCTCCTTTCGGAACCAGCTGGGCTGAGCAGCAGGGCCACGGTGTCCGGCTGGTGGACCGGGCCCCGGGGGAGGAGGCGGGGGTAAAGTCGGTGGAGCTGGAGGTGGCGGGGCGCTACGTGTACGGCTACCTGCGGGCGGAGAAGGGCACCCACCGGCTGGTGCGCAACTCGCCCTTCAACGCCAAGGGGCTGCGGCAAACCAGCTTTGCGGGTGGGGCCTGAGAGGTGCTTGGGGAGTTGGGGCCAGCGGAGCGGGGCGGAGGGCCAAACACAGGGAAGACGAGAACACCCCCTCCCCTCAAATGTTACCTTCGGACGCCCTCGACTGTCCTGTCACAGCCCTATCACATCCCCTCCTCCTTTCCCCACCATCCCCGGTCCCACCCAACTTTGGATCTCTTGCCCTTTTTTTTCATTTTTTGGTTGTTACTCCACCCACCCACCCACACATCCAAACACCCACCCGCCCCAGGCGTTGACGTGATGCCGGTGCTGGGTCCCGGGGACCTTCCGGATCTGGATCTGAACGAGCGGGATCTGGAGTTCAGCACCATGAGGTCGGGTGGCAAGGGGGGCCAGAACGTCAACAAGGTAGAGACAGGTGGGTAGCCTAGGGGGGCGGGGGTGGAGGGTGGAGGGGCGCAAACCATATGATCACGGTGATGATGCGAACAGCAAACGAACTCCAACTGCCGATGTCTAAAATGTATCAACCGGAGAGGGGCCCGAACGGGGTTGTTTGGCGGGTCATGTAGGTGGGAGACCGCACCGGGCGGGGAGTTGGATGGGGGGGAGAACTGGGGACTCGGGAGGCTCTCGGACTGACTGGTAGGTAGGAGGAGGGTCGGCCGGTGGTTTGTATGCTTGGGTGAATGTCCCGCAGCGGCTGGCAGAGGCAGCCAAGATTATCTTGAAGATACACCTCCGCCTCGCTACGTTGACGTGCTCTCCTCCTCGCCACGTATCACGTATGCTCCGGACCCCCATAAAAGCCCCTCCCCTACCCCCACACACCCCATCAGGTGTGCGCATCGTGCACCTGCCCACGGGCATCTCCGTCAAGTGCACTCAGGAGCGCAGCCAGAGCCAGAACCGCGAAATAGCCATGGACATACTTAAGGTGTGTGGGGCAGAGAATTCAATCTTCCTAGAGGCGAAAGGGAGGGGAAGGTTCAGCTGTGTGCGGGTACGGCTCCAGGGCCCTCTCACCCAGATCGGCTCCTTCCACTTGCCGCCCTCTTGCGGCCCCTTCCCCTCCCCCTTGCTCCGGGGCTCTTTGGGGGCCCCCGGCTCCGGGGCTCCTCAATGCTACCTTCGGGGTTTTCCTTTGTCCCCCTTTTCCCCGTCCTCATGCCCTTTCCGCGCCTCCCTGCCGCCCACCCTTCCCTCCCCTTCCCTTCCCCGGTCATCAGTCCCGGCTGCTGGTGGTGCTCGAGGAACAGAACGCCCGCCGGGTGGCGGAGATCCGTGGGGACCTCGTGAAGGCGGAGTGGGGACAGCAGATCCGGAACTACGGTGAGTTGGGCTGCGGGGGGGGGCCCGGGGGGGGGGGACTCGGTGGTCTCTTCTCCCGCCAGCTCTGCGTGCTTGCCATACGTTCGTGTGTATCCCTTGCCCCCTTCTGGCACCCCGCCTCAGGCAATCTCACCGCTTTGCTCTAAATAACCCTTTGGGACAGCTTTCTTCCAGCCTTCCAGCTTTTCTCATCCGATGAGGCCCCAAAAGGCTATGTATGTATGTATGTTGGTTTCGCGAGATTCTTCGTTTTGTAATCCCACACCAGACCGGAGCATACGTCATACATACGTTCATACACACGTACATACATGCTCCCAGTCGACCCAGTCGACCCGGGTTCAAATCCGCCTGCCGGCTCCTCGGGTGTTTGAGGAGTGATGAAATGGGAGGTGGCCCCCCATCTTATGGACGGTGTAGGACGTGATAATATCAACTTGCGAGCTGACCAGGAACTAAGTTGATGCGCCGTTGATCCGCTAGATTTGGTTGGATGCTGGTGGTGAGTTGCCGAACCCAACGAATACATTCTGAAGTCGGATGGGGTGACGGATTAGGGTGCCCCTCTAGCAGGGGAGAGCAGGGACTGCCCCGGGAAAGGGGGCCGCTGGCGAAGTTAACCACCCTGTAACAACATACGTTCATGCACACGTACATACATACGCCATACATACGTTCATACATAGGTACATACATACATGCACACGTACATACATACGCCATACACACGTACATACACACGTGCATACATACGGCCCGCCGCCCGGCAGTGTTCCATCCCTACAAGCTGGTCAAGGACACCCGCACGGGCGTGGAGACGTCGGACGTGGCGGCGGTGCTGGACGGCGACCTGGCGGACTTCATGGCGGCCTACCTGCGAATGAAGGGCCGCAAGGCGGTGGGAGCTAGCCTGGCTGCGGAGGGCGGCAGTAGCTGAAGGCAAAATATGATTCGTCATGCGGTGGTGGTGTGTGCTCAGCCCTGCGCTGGGGTCGACGTGCAAGGCGGTCGTCGCATGGAGAGTGTGAGGCGTTCTGCTGCCGCTACTGCTGCCGCTGCTTACCTCTCCCCCGCTGCCTCGGCGGCTCGAGCCGTACAAAAGCCTTTATGCAACTAAACTCGGCTCTGTAAACTCGCCTCAAGGGAAAAAAGTATGCCATCATTAGCATGTGATCAGGGGAGGCGCCATCCTCATCGCCAGCTGTAAACCGGAACGGGTATAATAAACAAAAACGTCTTCGGTCGCGTAATGAGGATACGAACCCTATAATAAGAGAGACTCACAACCCCGACAGGTGTATATATATGTATATGCCCTCGTGCATGTATAGGTTTCGTCATGTGCCGCTGTCCGTTCGTCTGCTGTCTATCCATCCATCCATCCATCCGCCTAAATGCCTATCGTTCATTTGTCGACAAGTTGGATGAAACCTCCACGAAGCTACTTGACCCTATTTCCGCGGAATATTGCACCGACAGCCGCAAGACTGCGCATTTGAGATGCAAAAACGGGCACCTGCCCAGCTGCGCGCACGGGTGCACGCAAAATGCAGATGTATGTATGCTCACACCAAAGGTTAAAGGCTATCGCAGCCCATCGTCCAGTCCAAGCACACAACGCACGTGTTCAGGCGGGGCCGCCTTCGTCTCCATCTTCACCTCCACCCGGGGAATGAGGGGGGCAGGCGCTAGTCAGTCAGGCCGAGAGCTGACGTCTCTCCCCCTTCATCGCCAGCGCGTCTTCTTCAAAGGCATGTGTTGTGTGTGGGAGGGGGGGAATCCTCACGGCTACGGCGGTGCGATGCGATGCCACGTCAGAGTACCTGCCAGTCAGGGCTCCGCGGCCAGGCCGCTGTCCGCCAGTGCGTCACCCGGAGCTGAACTGAGTGTGGAGGTTGAGTCCGCAGTGCACGGTCACCTTCGCCTCCGTTGACTTCGCGTCCCTCCGCATTTCCAGCGGTGCGATGTCGTGTACAACTGCGTTTCAAAAGCTGCGTCAACCGCCAACCCTGTCCCAGAGTGACTCCCGTGCGACCTCCCAGTCCAGCTACTCGAGGAGCCAAAAGCAGGTGGAGGGCCGCGACAATCAGCTCACGCACCCACCAACTTCTACGCGCACTATCCCCGTAAATAAGGGGGGGCATACGGTGCTCCCAAGTAACGACCTCGCAGCCCACCTCTCGCGCAGACGCGTCAACCGTCACAGCACAGCTTAAGTCGCACAGTGTCGCACGGATACGAATACGGACACGCCAGCGAAAAGCCCAACCCCCTCTAAAACGCCAACCCCCGAAGCAAAGTCGCGTTCTATGTAGCAAAGGGCCGAGCAACGCACAACCTCCGTCGTTAAGAATGGTGAAGAATGGTAAAAGTCGGTGGCCCCGGGGCCCTGGTCATCGAATTTTTATGGGAAAAAAGCGCATGCATTCCTCGAGACAACCGATACACGAAATTACGAGATGACCCATTCCAGGTTACACAGTCGCACTTCCTGTCCTTTTTTGGATCACACCATCCAGGTTTTCCAATACACGTCACGCAGCGCCTATATGTGCACCGTTGGTCGCAGTGACGGTCCTAATCAAGCGGAAAGACTGCTGGTAAGCGCATTTCTCAAGGTCGCAGTAGTAACAGCAGTCAGCAGTACCAGGTGGTATTAGTAGGAGAAGAACTTACAAAGAGATATATTGCTAGTGATATATACGACCACGAAAGCCGCCGTACAACCCACTTCTGCCGCGGCCCAAGGCCCTGTAGTGCCAGCCGATAGCTGAACTCAGCGACGCCGGTGCTGGGCTTGGAACTGCAGATGCGGCTGAGGCGGCTGGGGCGGCTGCTGCGCCTGTGGCGCACCCATTCCGGCCCCAGGGCCTGCACCGTGTGCTAGTCCCGCTCCCGCCACTCCCCCCACTGCCCCCGGGGGCGCCCACACCAGCCCCGTGTCATCCACCTGGGCCCAGGGCGTGGACAGAGGCTTGGGCTCCTGTACGGGTTGCCGTACCACACGCCACTGGAACACGGCCCGATCCTTTCCGCCCACGCTGACCTGCGGGGCCCCGGATGGCCCGGTCGAGGGGGTGTGAGGGCGGGAGGGAGGGTGGGCATTGGGAGGCGTGTTGCGGTGCTGGAGGAGTGTGGCCGAAGGGAAATAGGACCACGGCTGAAGGCCTCAAGAGGGCCCAAGCGGGCTGGCGGGACCCGGTTGACCACCCCGTTGCCGAGGAGGGGGAGAACTCCTCGCCTCACTTGTGCACAATCCTGTCACAAATGTATGGCACACACACTCTATCTCTGTCTCCGGACAATCGACGTGGGCGATGTTCCCTTGTAGCACACACACCTTGCTGCCGTCGCCGCATTGCCGCATTGCCATCCTGGTAATGCCTCAAGCACCACCACCTCAGCCCTTCCCTCGCGGACAAACCCACTTGCTCTTTTTCCTCCCTCCCTCCTTCTCCAGCAGCACAAAACTCTTTCCCGTCTCGCCTCCCACCCTTCCACATCATCCCCCCACCATCCCCCCACACACCGCGTACGTCTCGTCCGCGCTCCACCGAACATTCATCACATGGCTGCAGTGCCCGCTGTACACGTGCGCCGGCGCGTTCTGCACGACACACGGGAAGTTGAGCAGCCGTATGCGGCCCAGGTCATCCGCGGTAAGCAGGTAGCGCCAAGAGGGCGAGGCGTGTACGGAGTTGATGTCGGTGCCGTCACTATCCGCGAACCAGATGCCCATGACGGGGAAGCCCAGCAGGCAGCTCCAACTGGCCCATGCGGTGTTTCGCTGGTTGTCTTTGAGCTGGCGACCCGTCTGCGGGTCGAAGTACAAAATCTGCGAATGACGGTGCGGGGGGGTGGGGGAGAAAGGGGAATGAGCGATGGAGGTTGATTACTGGTTCTCTAACACGTAAACCAGGAAACTGGGCGGGACGACTTGGCTGGTGCTGGTGCCGGTGCTGCCGGTGCCACTCCTTTCAGTAAGGTCGGGGAAAACAGGACGTACAGCCAACACAGCCCCACACACCACCACACAGCAGGAGCACCCCCATCCCACCTCGTATGCCTGGTCCACACTCTGTAATGCCGTACTGTCCATTGACCAGTCCATATGCCGTACAGTGGACGAATGGCCATTACAGCGAGCCACCCGGGTGTACCCCCGCGTCACATCAAACACGTCGATAGACTGATCCACGGCGTGAGTGATATGCGTGTTCATGTAGGGGGGGAGGATAGGGTAGGGGGGTCGGCATGTTGGCGTCACTAGAGAAGGCGAGAGGGGTGAGGCGGAGAGGCAAGCGAAAGGCCGGGTGCGGGAGACTAAGTGTTGAAGAGAGGGGAGAGGCAGTGCGAGGGAGGACTGCAAGAGCGTGGCGGTGATCGAGTCATGGCCTTGGACGGTGGGGAGAGACAAAAACACAGGCTGCTGAGCGAGGCGATACCTCACCTGGTCGTGGCTCCCCGCCGCCAGGAAGCGGCCGCACGGGGAGTACTTCAGCTCATCCACCGCACTGTTGAAGGTCTTACCCCACCACACCTTGGGGGGAGGTGGGGAAGGAGGGGAAAAACACACACACGCCCAGGTCAAAGAGAGACAGCAGCACTGCCGACGTCTAAGAAGGACAGGAGAAAAAGGGATTCCCGGAGGATTCCAAGAAGCTTTCAAGAGCTTGCCGTACCTGTCGTACTCCCGGGTGGAACTCCAGCACCTTGATTCCCCCGTTGGTGCAGCCCACTGCGAGCTGTTGTCCGTCCGGAGAGAAGGCGCACCCGCGGGCCACCAGTCCCCCCAAGGACACGATACGGATGGGCTGATCGGGTGAGGGGAGAAGGGTGGTGGTGGTGAGGGTGAGGGTGAAGCAGGAAGGGGGGGGCGGAGAGTGAGACGTAATGGTTACGGGAGTGGGCCGGCGCGTTGAGGGTGGAGGCGTGGGAGCCGTGGGCTGGGGGTATGGGGGGGAAGGCGGGTGTTGAAACACGAAACACCACTGGCCGTAGTAAAACCCCACTCTGAGGAAGTGCACAGGGCAGAAGACGTACGTATCGAAACGTACGAACGTACGTACGTGCATGAGTACAATATGGACGTACCTTTCTCGTCACGGCGCTCCACACGGTGACTTTATCGCTATCGCAGCATGTGGCATAGACGTGCGGGAAGGCGGGATTCGTGGCTAGGCCGTATATGTCCGCCTGCTGGCCGTACACGAGCACCTCGGGGTCCTTATCCACCTCCCACACGTCGCAGCTGGCAACCCCTGCGGTGGTGGCGGTGGCGGTGGCGGTGGCGGTGACCCCCAGCACAAGTGCAAATTATTTTGATGAAAGAGCCAACACTCTAAATTACTCTAATAGGAGCAACGAAAAGAGCTCTTCCTTAGAATTCCTGAACCTCTATAACTTCTCCGCTAAAATTTATTTCGGGAATAATTCCACTGAAAACCAAATTCGCCAGAAATTGTGGACGTGCTAATCACACCCGGCGGGGAGGGAGTTAGCTCCGCCAGCCAGTTGAGTCAGTTAGGTTGATAGATTGGTAAGGGTGCGGAGTTGGAAGGGTTAGTGGGGTCAGGGAGAGGGGGCTGGGTCGTCAGACCTCACCCAGCCAGCCACCTCACCCACCCACTCCAGGCACCCACTCAAGGCCAGCCACCTCACCTGCAACGAACATCTCGGGGTTATCCGGGGCGCAGTCCAGGCCACGCAGTGCGGGCGGGGCTAATGTACCAACCTGGTGTTGGGGTTGAAGGGGGGGGTCATGGGGGCGGGAGGGGGGGGGAAGGGGACGTGGGGTTTTGCAAGGGACACGCCCGGTGGGCAGCATATGCAAAAGGAAGCAAGGCATTAACTGCCGCCGTCCGAAGTTTGAAACTGCTGGAGGTGCGTAGGTGGGCAGGAAGTGGAGGAAGGGGGCAAAGGAAGGACACACAGGCGGATGCAAAGCCCCTCGAGGGCGAGTGGGTGTCTGGTTGGCTGGCTGGCTGGGAGAGCCAGCCAGGGCACAATGGCCCCATCATCCCCCTTAGGATGTATGAGCAATGGGGGCCCCTTTTTGAATATGCTCCCTCCTCCGGACGCACATAGAGACAAATACTGGGAAACGGAGATGTTCCCTCATAGCACAAAAAAAGGCACAACAGACGCTATCTTTATCTCTCTCATGTCTCCTCAGCTGGGCCCTACCACCGAAACATCACCGGCATATCACTATTCCTTTTGTATTGCAAATAGTTTCGCAGGTTCATAACAAGGCTGCCGCACTACAATACCGGCATGAAGAGGACACACACAATGCAGCGCGCAAGGCCCTCTTGGCGGCCCCCCCCCATCCCCCCCACCTGTGCGGGTCTGAGCAACGGGAAGTGCCTCAGCAGCGCCCCCAGGTCGCCACCACTCACATCCCACATACGTACGACACTGCAGCGGCATGCATTTATTAGGAGTTGGGGGTTAGGGTTTAAATCATTGGCTTTTGATTTGAGACGAGTTTGAATTTAGGTGGGTGGGCGGTATATAGGAAATATTGCAGCAAAAAGCGAAGGATACAACTGCAGATGTCCAAAGCACCAAAACTGCCGGAGCGCCCTGGCCCTGGCGGCAGGGAAGCACACATACACACATACACACAAGCAAACAAGACGAGCTGGGGAGTTAAGAGGATGGGTTAGGCCTGGCCGCTTGGACAGAGGGTGCATGTGAACTTGTTTTCGTTGTTTAGGGCTCTGCCATCTTAAGATTTTGCTGACTTTGGACTTACTCACCTCGCCAGCTCTCCAGCATTACTCCCCCCCAGTGCGCTGCTCCCCCTCCCCCCCCACGACCTGCTCTATCTCACCGAAGAACCCCCCGTTCCGCGACAAGCATACACACGAAACACACACAAGGTGCGGTCCCATCCAAGCGCCGCCCCGTCCCCCCTGATTACCCGTCGGCGCCACCGCTCAGCAGCACCCTCTCCGTCTGCAGTACAAGGCACCGTACACCGCCGTACGAGGGCTTTCCGTCAGGCCGGCGGGTGGGCGGCCCAGAGGCATGCGCCTGAGTCTCTCTCACCAGCCTCCGGCCCTTCCAGCTGCAGATGCAGCCGGCCTCGTTGCCTAACGGTTAACAGTTGGCAGTTGATAGTTAGCCAGGTGGAAGTGAACAAACATAATACAGGTCATATACCCAGCAAACCCAGGCCGTAATCAAGGGGAAGATGGAAAGGGGTGGCTGGGTAGAATCTTTGACACAGGTGGAAATGCACAGGTGGGGGCGGGGGGGGGGCCAACAGCTCCACATCCATCCTTGCTGCCCCCCAACCCAAACCCCCCAAAGCCCTGTTCGGACATCGACCAAGTCTGTATCCTCCGCCGCACACTTGCTGCACCGCATAACTCCTCCCCCTCCCGACAACCCCGCCCCCCACCCCCACCTGTCAGCACTGCTCCTGAGGGCAGGAAGCACGCCCCCGTCACCGTGTGTGTGGCCCCCAGGGAGAACATGCCGCTCTCGGAGCTGGGGTTGAGGGCGCCACTGCCCGCCCCGCCCCGGGGGTCGGAGCCCAGCCGCCAAAACTTAATGTGGTTCTGTCCGTAGGTAACAAGCCTGGGGAGGTGGGAGAGGGCAAGCAAGGGGGCCAAGCCCGGGGGGTGAGAGGGGGACGTGTGGTAAAACACTCATCGCAACGGTCTCGCCCTGGACTGCGTACGGAGTCGGAGACCATCCGGAAGCGTCCAATCCCCCCACCGGACAGCGAGCTGCTTGCTGTCGCCTCAGTCTTCGTGCGGCGCCGCAACGGCACTGCACGGCCCGGCCGGCCAACCCCACCCACATAACCCTAAACCCCCCCCCCCACCCAGAACCCAGCCACTGCCACCCACCCACCCACCCGCTACACAGGCCCCACGCCATCCTCACCCCCATCGCCTCGTCTCTGTGCTCACCTGTCCGGCTCGAACCTGCTCCACACGATGCCGTACACCGCCGGCGGCGCACCAGGCTGCGTCTTCCGCGGCTCGCACAGCGGCGCCCTCCTCGTCCAGTCCCACACGTGCAGCGAGTGGGAGTTATCCAGGGATATGGCCGCCAGTCGGGATCCGTCCGGGGAGAAGGCCAGGGCCTGGATACCCCGGTAGTCGCGACTGTCAGCCAGGTAAGGTCGGCAGGGGGAGCGGGCAGGGGGGCGGTCTAAAGGGGAAAGAAACCGCCAATTGAGGCTTTAAGAGGGAACGAAGGGGAAGGCGGGGGGGGGCACAGTTAAGGAAAAGACGGAATGATGAAAAGGCTGATGGGGAAAAGGAGAGAGAGGGTGATGGGGAAGGATGGGGAGAGGGCTGCGTCTTATTCTGGTCCTGCCCCTGGCCTCCTTTCCCCACCCACCCACATGCCCCTCGACTCGCTGGCCCCCTTCTCCACTTCCCTCCTTTCCCACCTCCGTCCTTTCCTCGCCTTCCTCGCCCTTCCATCTCCCACTCACTCGACGTTAATTTTGGCAATCATCTTGCACGATGTGGAGTCCCACACCGCCACACAGGGGCTCCTGCCCAGCTGCCCCGTGGCCACCAACAGGCGGTCGGGGTGGATGGCGGTACACAGCACGTCGTCGTCGTGACCCAGGAAGAAACGCTGTGGGGGCAGCCGGGGAGGGGAGGGGGAAAGACGAACCACGAACGAGTGAAGCTGCTGCCAGGGCAAGAGTGTACCAGGGGAGGGGGAAGGGCGGGGTGGGAAAAGACAGACCTGGACTTGGACGGAGCGAAGGGGTAGGAGGGGGGAGGGGTCAATAGCCCCCGAGGGATAAGGCGGGAGAAAGGGAGGGAAAGAGAACCAAAGGGAGGCAAAAGGATCAGGAGGGAAATGCGGGGGACCATACACATGCACATGCACGTGGACACGCGCACAGGGGGTCATGCAATAAGAGGGGGCTCACAGGGGGACACTCGGACAGGAGGCATTCCTGCCGTGTCGTACCACGTGCCGCCCGCCCTCACCTGCGTGTGTGTGCCCTTGTCATACACCACGCCCAACCCGGCCACGTTGTACACCACCGCCCCGGTAGCTGTGTAGAATATATTGGGTGCCGTAGCCAGATGGCTGCCGGAGGGGGGGTGAGGGAGGCCAAAGCGGGGAAAGCGGGACGGGGGTGATGCGGGTAACAGGGAACGGGGAAGGGAACTGCAGTAAGTATGCTGAACTGCAAGGTTGATTAGAGGGTTCGTTGCGATGTTTGGGTGCTGTGATGTGATGTGGATATTCGGAGGCAGGCTTGCACGGAGGATGTAGAGGAGGGGGACTCCATGCTCGACATTTCTTTTTAGAACAGTTGACATAACGGTCAGCAACGATTATTAACCGAAGCAACAGCGGCAAAAGATCGGAGAGCAGAGATGATGACGGAACGAGCGAAAGACAGGGAACGGGGACAAGACCCCCGCACTGACGCCCCCTAGCTTCCGACCTCCACCCCCCCTCGTCACTAACCACGCACCCGTCGTATCCATGTACGAATTCCAACGCCAGTCGTACATCCGGCAGCTGCGCAGATCGCTCCGCCAGCCTGGGGTCCCAATTACTGGGCGGCCACACGCCCTGTGTTTTGAGTGTGTGGGAAGGGGGGAAATCGGAGTATTTCGTGTATTTGTTTGTTTGTCTGTTTCCCCCTCTCCCTCTCCCCCCTGACTAGGGTACCTTCTTGCACTCGGGGTACAGTATCTTCCCCGTGTGTGTGGCGGGTTTCCCCGCCTGGTAGGGCCCCCGCTGGACCTCCTCGCTCGCAGCCATGGCGAGACGTGGGCCGCCCATCAGCAGAGCGTCAGTGAAGTTCTGGAGGAAGATGGCGAGGGAGGGAGAGAGGTACGGGTGGCAGGAGGAGGAGGAGGGGGGAAGGCGGCATGTCAAGTGGCGGGGGGGGGGCTGATGGCGATCTCGGCGAGGGTGACCAGCCCTCAATCCAGAGCTAGACGACACCCTTGTTCTCCTTGCCGAGCATATCATGTCACTTACATCCCTACACAATTACATCCCTACACACATACACACACACATACACACACGACACGGCGCATGTGCGGGTTCTTCCCGCGGCCCAGACCAGTCCTGCCCCGGGAATGCTCCCCCTACTCGAAATCCAAGACAACTCCAAACCAGTACCAAACGCACCCATCCAGTGAGGGGATGACGCTGCAGCTCACCATGACAGGCATGAGCCCCCGCGCGTCCTTGCCGTATTTGTCGAAGAAGGCCCGGGCGTGGGCATTGCTGATGGAGATACCAAACCGCCGCCACACCGCCACGAACTGGTCCGTGCTCACCTGCGTTGCGTGTATGCGCTGCGTGTTGCGGAGGTGATGTGTACAAAGCGACGGTTGCAGCCAAGCAGCCTGATGGGCCCCTGACCGACCGACCGACCGACCGACTAAACCGCACACCACCATCTTTGAACACAACAGGCTAACCGGCTGCGAGCCCTATCCAAACCCCTTCAGCACCCCACCCACTACCCCACCCACTACCCCACTCACCAACCTCAACAATCACCAAGAAGCAAAGATTAAAAGAGCAACCTCTTTGGTTTTCCAAGGTTTATGTGATTCCCATCCCCCCTTTTCCTTTTCCCCTTTCCTGCCCACCTTATCCTTGGGACCCAGATCCGTGTACCTCTTAGCGAGCACCGTGGCGAAGGCCTGAAGCAACACCGTGCGCTCCGTGACGTGGACCTGCCGGGGGGGTGGGCAGTGTGAAGGCCGGGAGGGCGAGGGTGGAGGTAAAGGGTATGGGGGAGTGGTATGGTGTCGCGTCATATAACTGTAGCCTCGACGAAGCATGTACGTACGGGAGACGTAGGGTTTTGCGTTGGTGTGCTGGAAGTGGGTTGGAGTGCTCTGTGGGTCCGCTACAGGGTGGTCCACCAGCACTCCAGCTGCACGTCCTCCTCCCCTCGCGCCCCTAACGGACCCCCTCCCCTCCCCAGATCCAAAGTGACCGCGTACCGCTGCCGACCGCCGCAGCATCTCCCTCAGCCGCTCCTCCAGCTGGAGTACCTCGGGCTGGAGCTCCACGGTGGCTCGTCGGGGGACACCCGCCGCCGCCGCCGCCGCCGCCACAGCAGCAGCGCCGCCAGGGCCGCCGGGGCCGCCGATACCGTTGACGGCGGATCGCCGCCGAGCGCCCGGCGGCGCGCTCGTGGGACGTGCGCGGCGGCCTTCGCCGCCTTCGCCGCTGCCGTCGGTGGTAGCACGGCCGCGGGCCTGTCGTGGGCGGGCCGCCGCCCCCTCATCCATCACATGGAACACCCCCGGCCGTATCTCAACCTGTAAAGCAGGCCCGTGAGGCCGTGACGTGAAGTCAGGCGCTATATAAAGCCGACTCAGGTGCCATGTTATCAGGACACACGTTAAGGCCAGGAACCCAGATCAAGCACTGCCTTACCCCGCTCCTGGTCGAAACTTTCCCCGCTGGTTTAACACCTAAATAATCCCCAAAACCCTTTGCCCCTATCATCTCTTCAAGCGTTGCTTGAAGAGATGATGAAGAGGTTTATGATTGTGCCGAAAGGATGGATGGTGGGTGGTGACTAGTACCACCGACCCATTCGCCCATCCACTTCCTCACCTACCTGCACATACCCACCCAGCTAAGCGCCCGTTTACACCTCTGGTTACCCACCCAGCCGCCCAGCCACCCACCCGGACGTCCCTCAGCGCCTCACGGTTAGCGGGGTGCAGGCCCTGAGGGGCGCCTGAGCGGGGGTTGTCCGCACCCGCAATGCACCCGCATATGGACGGTGCGGCGACAATGGACGGACAGGAGCGGGAGGGGTGAATGGAGGGTTGAGGAGGGTCAGGGGCCTTCAGCCCTTCAGGATATTGGTGAAACCGCAGGGGACTGCGCCTTAATGGTGGAAAGGGATTTTCATATACACGCATGGACGGACCAACTAGGGGTGGGAAGAGGAGAAGTGTGTGAACATCTTGGTGAACATCTTGGGGAGGCCAGGCGCGCCGCGTTTGGCGATCATTGCAGCCGTTCAACCACCCATCCATCCATTTCTTCATGAAACCGCCATAGCCACCAAGCGCACTGGGGACACCCGGTGGTGCCCCGGTACAGCGGGTGGTGTAGCCGGGGGTTATGCTGTCCGCCCTCTCGCCATCGCTATAGCCCTCGCATCCTGCATTCTTGGTTCTGGCGTAGAAACCGGCCCTTTCACACCGGCCCCCACGCACGTTGGGCTTCCCTAGGCCGGTGCCAGTCCTTTCCCATGAAGCCGGCGGCCAGGGGCCCTGCCTGCCTGGCCACCTCTCTGTAAGGTGCGGCCCCACTCCGTTCGGCTTAGGAGGGAATGGGTGTCAGCTGCTGTGCGGTATATGGGGCCCTGCCCTGCGGCTGCGGTCCCTAATCTGCCTTGCTTAATTGGAGGCTGCTGCACGCTGATCCTTATGGAGAGGGTTGCATCTGACATTTGAGGCTGCCGCAGGGCTGCTGCTACCGCTGCATGGTTCACCGGATTCCTGATGGCCTTGTCGGGTCCGACGGTGCGTCCGGCCAGATACACTGGCTTTACCGCCAATCAATAGGTCCGGATGGCTCCTGGGCGCTAGTCATGCGATGCGGTCCAGATCCGCCCGTTCACATCGTGAACGGGGGGGGTGGAGTAACGTAACCGGCAGGTGCCGCCGTAGGGCGATGGGGCAAGCGAAGAGACGCGCATAACATGGTGGGTAACTGGGTATGGCGCAGGTTGCACTTGGGACTGACAGGTTCCGGGTGTTGACCGCGGCCAGCGGCATGGAACGCGGAACCAGCCGTACCTTGGAGTTTCCTGTCCCAGAATATAGGTCCATGCGAGCCAGGTGGTGTTGGATACTGTGAACAGTTTGAAAAGGGATCAGCGGGGGTTACGCAGGAAGCATGACGACCATCCGCCCCCATGGGTCGCCCTGCTCAGGCCGTTATCTGCAGCATACCTCTGCTCTTGGATTTGATGCACGTCTTTCTTTAAAGGCAGCCTCTATCTGTGCCGCTTGGGCGCGGGACAAGCGACCACCGTTAGCGTTGGCTTCGCGCTGCGCCTGGTCGCCATAACTAGCCTTAAGGATTCGATCCATTACAAGAAGTTATAAGGCAGTAAGTCTCATAAAAAAACATCACGAGCACCCTTCACAGCGTTCGATGTTTGGCAGGATGCTAACTGCTGCTGGCCATTTCGGACCATCCACCGTAAGTAAATATATAAAAGAATAATACCAGCGCGGAGGTATGTGGCGTGTGATTGCCTACCGTCTCCAGGGGGTCAACAAAAGGCGGATGGAAGGCGATGGACTAATTTTTTGGTACGTCATGCACCTTAACTAAATGCACCAGCCAATTCAAAGCAAGCACCATAGCAGGATTTGTGGATCTCCGCTCGTTGGAAACCCTGGAACAAACTGAAGTACGGGATTACCGACTTTCGACAGGCATGTCAGAGGATGCGGCAGCTGGATCAATCTGTTATGTTTGGCATCCCTTAAGAAACAACCGCAACTCACACAATGGTTGCATGCGCGCCACTAATCCGCAACCGCAGGAATCCGTCGTGCTCCGCCGCTGCCCCTTACACCGTTAGCTTTACCTGCTCTGCATTTCCGAGTATTCAGACTGATGCATAAGGCCAACAGATTAAGTTGGCTCTGCGACCAAACCATACTTAAGATTAGCCTCCTACTAAGTCTGTCGTGCCCTCTTGCCAAGCCACCTGAACGCCATGTGTACGACTGTTTACAAAACATCCAAAGCTCGCCCCAGCTGGAAAAAGCGTTTTTTTCCAGGCAGTGTAAAGTTACGTTATGTAGGTGCCGCTGATACACGGCTAAGCGGCTGACGTGTCTAGCTGCGTAACCCAACCACCAGAGCCTCCCCACGTGCACTCTGTGCAGTTCCCCCGCACAGGTCCAGGTTGAACATGGCAAGGTGGGTGCTCTCCCCTGTGCTTACAAAGGCTGCAGTGACTTGCCTTCTGTTACAATGGTCAATGACCTGTAACCCAAATTAACCCATGACAAGTACGCCCCATACATCATGGATATACGTATAACCGTTTATGTTTCACGTGGTTGGTAGCAAAGCTAAGGATGGAACGCGGATAAATCACACCAAGTTGCCAGAAAGGGCTAAGCAGGCCTAAGCAGGGCTAAGCAACAGATAACCGGCGAACCCATTGCTCACGACCACTTCATAATTACTATGATACAAGAATCACACAGAATACATTAAAGAGTGAATAACGAGCACTTCAAGGTCCTAGTTAAGACGGGCCGTCCTTCCGACGGCCGATATCCATACAGCAGACTATACAGCGTAACGTACACCGGCACAACAGCCACTGTTATGTCCGCAAAGGCTGACGACATAGGCTGACGACATTACGCCTCGTCGAGTGTACCAATAGACGAGCCGAAGCTACCTCTACAGGCAGACGCATGGGGTCATGGCCGCCCTCATCAGTCCCAACAGCAGCAGCACCATTACAACCGCGGCAATGTTCACGTCGCTGAGGTCCACCACATTCTGCACGCCCTGGGCGCTGCTGGCTTTTGCCGCTCTGGGCTCCTGCGGTCTGTTTGGGCCGTCCATCCTGTCAAGGAAAAGGTAACCAAAACATCCAAAATTTAAAAGCCATCCAGGGCATTGTGGTGGAAGCAACAACGGTCTGTGACAGCTCATTAAAGCTATGGGGACACCTATATCCTTGCCTTCCGCAGGGAAGGAAGAGTTACAGGAGAATTTGTTGTGGATGTTACCTTTCTTGGATGCTATTTTTGTGAACTCGGCAGGTTATTAGACAGGAAGCGCTCCTGCAAAAGGCGACGAGGCTCTGTTTTCTAAAATCGCTCTCTGTCGCTAACGGTATCAACTCGAACGGGCACTGATACAGAGGCATAGCAAAAGTAAAGCGAAGCCAGTACAGTTTCCGTTCCAGCCGTACCGAAGTTCTTCTATGTCGTTTGTACAGCGGTGGAGTGACTACTGGCCTGCGATCCAGGAGATGACAGCTATATAAGCCTGTAAAAGCTTTTTGAGCTGCTGCACGTGTGCTTGGTTTCCGGTAGAACGGTTCAAGAGCAAACGGCATTACCCCGGTTAAGACAGACACACCCACTCGAAGAGCAAGACACGAGCATCGGATGCGACTTGCTCGAAGTACTACTTCACGAAGGGGAAAACAGTCTGAAAGCTCCCCCATCAGGAAAGCGACAGAGGCGAGCACTTTCCAAGAAAGGTGGTGGCCTCTCCAACTCCTTTCCGCACGCGCTTGAGGTTGCGTGTGTCAAGCTCGGCCATGCTGCTGTCCTTATACAGTACTTGACAAGAGAACGGAGTGCGGCTGGTACCCTCGTATCCCAGGGCACGCGCGTCCGACATTACCATTATTGTAACTTGCTGCATGCTGACGAGCACTGAACAAGTGCCACCGTGAGCCGATCACCATGCCGTGGATATGCAGCACAAGACCTACACAATTGTGTATCGTTGGCAATGGAAGCAGGTTTACAGGGGGGTACGCGGCCGCTCTGCTGGCTGCCCAGCTGTTAGGTGACCGTGACCGTAGGCCGCCAAGGATCAGCTTGGGAAAACTTGGGTCAAAAGTTCGCCACTTTGGCTAAAGGGAAGAAGAAAACAGGACCTTATGATTGCGTAGCTAGGTATCCAGCGGGCAGTGACACCGTTGCGTAACGTGCAAGAGGCTACCAGGGGCCCAGCGCTAGGGCAGGGGGAGTTCATTGAGGCTTGCTCCGGACATGTGCGTGTGCGTAGCTGTATGTAGCATCCATGCTTGCAAGACCACAAGGAGCAAATGGCACATGTCTAGCGGCGTCCTTTCCAGATTCGCTAGCAATTAGACACCAAACCAATAGAGTGTTGGGTACGTGTTTAGGGCATCAGGAGGGTGTTAACATGCCTGAAAGGTGTCGGGCGCCGTGAATTAATTAGCTCGGGCCCCCGGAGCCAGATGCTGGAGATACGAAGCTGTTCCCAAGTCACCTTTATGTATGGCGCCATGCGCTTGCCAAACCAGCACATGCCATTCCCCTGCCTTCGCACTTAGAAATAGGGTGAAGAGGTAAAGGGCCCCAGAAAGGGTTAAACCCTGCTATCTCCACACAAACAAGGGTTGGAAATGTCTACCGTGAGGATGCCAACCTCCAGTGCTGGGGTTAGGAGCTGCCGCCTTTAAAATGTCCATCACCCAGTGCGCGGCAACCCACAGCGGGCCTGGTATCAGGGAACGTGCATTTGGCCGCGCCAAACACGCTTTCAAGTCGGTAGTTTGCTGTTTCCAGTACGGCATGCTGGGGCCGGTCGCGCTTGGCGCCCTGGGCAAGGGCCAGGGTTAACGTGCACTGCCAGGCCATTCCCGTCCGGGTAGGCATCGAGGATGCACCGTTTCGGGGCTCCGGCAGAATGCTCAAGCTTAGGCAAATCCACCAAAGGTCAGTGTTGCTGCCAAGCAAGACATGTTTTGTCACCTGCCCAGCTTATTTGCCTCATGTCAGACTGTTACTTGCATTATGGAAAGCAGTTAAAAGCAGCGTTTTGGAAGGACACACATATCTCGGCAGTTGTTCTGGTCACGTAACACATCACAGATAGTCATCATAGATAGCAGAGAACGCTGGAATTGTCCTTGCAAATTGGTAAAATGACTATCGGGTGTATGTTGGGCGGTACCTTATTGCCATTTAGTCGTACGGCGTGCGCCGACTTTGCCGCAGTAAGAACCCTGCCAGCACACGATACTCTCTCTTTCAGCAGGTGGTTGCTGCAAGCGACGACCATGGCCAAGCCTGCCAAGTTCATCGCCCGTGGCATTACTGCCGAGGGCAGGTCCAAGACCTACAAGTGCGTTGGGCCATTGCTGCTATGACGCTGCTTACTATGTAGCTGATTACTCATAATGTTGTATTAGTTCATTCTTTTAAGTAGTTACTGAGGACAGACGCCTTCTGTGCACGCCGCGCCGCCGAACTGTTCTTTGTTTGGTTGTCCTTGTAGGCGCAAGGGCCTGTGGGCGATCAAGAAGAAGAACGGAGGCAAGTTCCCTACTCACGCTAAGAAGGCTGCGCCGGCCCAGCCTGAGGGCAAGGCGCCTCGCTTTTACCCCGCCGATGATGTGCCTAAGCCTCTGGCGCACAAGGCAGTGAACAAGCCCACGCAGCTCCGGGCAAGCATTACACCAGGCACGGTACTGATTCTGCTGGCGGGTCGTTTTAAGGGAAAGAGGGTCATTTTCCTTAGCCAGCTACCATCTGGCCTTCTACTGGTCACTGGCCCGTTCAAGCTTAACGGCGTGCCAGCGCGCCGCGTGAATGCCGCTTACGTTATCGCGACCAGCACGAAGGTAGAGCTGCCAAAGCTGGACCTGTCGCAGTTTGACGACAAGTACTTCCAGGCCCAGGAGGAGAAGCGCAGCAAGAAGGGTGAGACCGAATTCTTCACCGCAGCTGACGCCAAAAAGAAGGAGCTTAGCCAGCAGTACATTGCAAACCAGAAGACCTTGGACGCGGCCATCCTCCCCGCCCTGCCTGCGGAGCTGAAGGGCTATCTCTCGGCGCGCTTCACGCTCAAGGACGGCGACCGGCCGCACCTGATGAAGTTCTAAGTGGATTTTGTGACCGAGGGGGCCTCTGCGACCAGCGGGGCGTGTGTGGACGCACGGCCAGGAGGCCGCACACCGAGAGCGGCACCTGCGGGGAGATGTAACGTAACTCGATGTGTTTCGTGCCCCCTGCGTTTCTCCCAACCATTATCTTCGCATCCGGGGACAGTGAATGGCAGCGATGTAGAGCCGGTCAGTTCCGGGTCAGTATTACACAATTACCAAATCCCCGGTTCAAATATTTGTGTGTAGCCTCAGCGGAATGGTGGCCTCGTCTGCAATAGATGATGGTCCGTTCAGGAACCATACCACCAAATGACCGCGGGCCTATAGGCCTACATAATCAAGGACTGGGGAACGACAGGGGTTCTGAGTTAAGCTGTGATGCCTATGAGAACGAAGGTAACCTGATGCAAGGAGATGGACAATCACACTTGAGCCCTGAACGTTCTGCTTGTTTCATGCTCGTGTTCACTTTCTCTGTGGAGCTGTGGTCTGTCCCGATAGAGTAATCTTAGTTTGGCTTTCGGGGACGAGGTTTACAAGGCATATGGGGTCCGTCGCTTGCGTACTGCAACCTAGTGCTGTATAGCGTTGTCTCCACCGATGATATCTGCGAGCCTCTCCCCAGCCGCGAGCCTTGGCGTCAATCAATATAGCACTTCAAGACATATATAGGTCTTCTTTCACAGAAGTACCTATAGAGGACAGTGTAAGGCCACTGAAACATCAACCGGTAGACCGGTAGTGTACCCCGTTCCAGTTGGACGACGAAAACGTAACTATGAAGATCACTCCACCTCAGTAGTAAACCACATCGCATGAAGGTAAAAGCTGGATGTCGCACACCTATTATGGGAAACAAATGCAACACATAAATACCGCACATGAGGAGATATGCCACACAGGAACATGCCCCGAATCCATGATGCGCTGAATGTATCCTTTTGTCCACGTCGGACAAGTGCCGCGTGGTAAAGCCGCCTTCGCGTACGACATCCCGACGGCTTTTGGAACAGCACGTGGCCAACACGCTTAGCTGCGAGGAGCGACCCCGGTCACTTCACGGCAATGGGCACACATTCCACCACGCCCAACGATCCTCTCCCAACGCCCAACACTGCATTCGTTCAATTCAGATGTTGGACCCTGCCCATGGGTGGTGGCCTTAGCACACCACCTTCATACCACCACATGCTGAAAAACAAACCATGTCGCTTGGTCAAACGCAGCGAGCACGCGCTTGATCACCGTTGCCTAGAAAGGGGACATGAATGGGTCGATCCTCTTCAACCCCCCTTCCGCAAAGGGCGCCAGAGCCCAACATTCTGTCTGCAAGTCGCCTCGTCAATTGCATCAAGCCAGGGCACATACGTACACGTCTCAAAAATGCTTCCGCCGCTAAACCTACAACCTATACATAGTTAATACATATATACAAGTGGCCCTAGCTCCTGAAGCGCCTGCCCGCCGATCTCATCACAGCCGTGTGTTAGCAGTACCTGTTCTACTCCGCGCTGCCACGCTATAAATCATGAAAGTCCCCCCCCCCACATCCGCAAACTACCACTAACTTATAAAAGAATGATGATGCTGTGCTGGGATAATTAGACATGAGCTCGGGGGTTAATTGGAGGGGGTAATTTGACGAATACCTCTCGGCAAAACACGTCACACACGACACGACCCACAAATGACAACAGCATGTGTTCGCAAGCAACTTCAACGGAAAACCGACACCCGCTTGCGATCAATCCCGATCCGAACCGGCTGGCGTCAATGGCGGTGGACCCGCTCTAAAGGTGCTGCTACCTGCCGTCCTCCATGCCCTACATCTTCCCGCCAACGATGAACGCAACACCTCCCGAGCCACGCAGCACCCTTCCAAAGCTTCTAAAGCTTCTAAACGTTCCCATCTCTGCTTTAGCTGCGCCCCATGTACTTGAACCCCCCAATCATGCCCCGACAGAAGGGACACAGCGCCGGCTTGAGTGTGTTCAGCTTGCACAGCTCCCGACTGCAGTCTGCACACAAACGGTGGCCGCACCTCGAAATGCTGAGCACGTCGGGCTGGTCGAAGCACACCCCACACGTACCCTCACCGCTTTCCGACGCCGCCGCCGACGACAGCGTCCGCAGCAGCTGCCCAGCCAAATTCGCGGACACAGCGTTAGCCGGCGGACCGCCTGTACCTGTACCTGCACAGGCCTGACTCCCGCCGACATTCAGCCCTGTCCCGGGGGGCGGTCGGGCAGTCAGTGCCGTTGTGAGGGAAACCTGCTGCGCAAATGGGGAAGTCAAAGTGACGGGCTGCGGTAGCGGTGGCGCCTGTCGAGGGCTCGAGCCACATCCCGCGTCTATGGACACACGGCCGTCGCCGCCGACAGAGCCCACGCCGGAAATGGCCGTCGCCACCGCGGCCGCCGGGGGGGTGCTGCGGTACAGGCCGTCCTCACCCCCGCCACCGTCACCGCCGTCGCCAGGTGCAGGGCACCGCGCAGACGGCACACGTCCAAGGCCTGCACCCCCATAATGAAGCGATGAGCTCTGATGCAGCGACCCCTCCAATCCCGAAGGACGCGCTGAGCCTGCAACTGGCCCTGGGCCCGGACCCGACGCAGCCGCCCCAGCCGCCTGCTCCGAATGGTCCCGGAGGAGGTCCTGTAGATCCAGACCGTGGGTCAGCTGGAGCAGCCGGTAGCGGCGCAACACGTTTTGCGGCGCCTCCACCAGACTCGCCAGCATCGCCAGCACAGCGCCGTCGACCTGCTCTTGCTCAGGCTGCTGCGGCGGCGACGGCAGCACCGCCTCTGCGCCGCCGCGCGCTAGCGCCGCCAGACTGACGGACCTTTGCCTTAAAGACCAAGATCCAATGCCGGACGACACCACCGCGTTACTAGAGTCTTCGTCGACTGAATCGATTGGCGTGATGCCAGCCGCCGGCTGAGTGGCAGGTGGCGGGAATCCCCGGCCCGCCACGACCGTCACATCCACCTCCGAAACCTCTGTCGATGCACGCGACTCGATGACGCCGGGCGGCACCGGCAACGGGAGGGAGGGCACACGAGCCGGACGCCTGGACGCACTGGGCTGCAAAACCTCAGGCGGCGCGGTGCTGGTATTGGCGCCCATGCTGGCTTGCAAGGAGCCGTTGTGCGGAAATCTGAGAGCTTGCGGTGCAGGCTGCGGTGTTGGCTTGGCGTCCTCAGTGCCCGACGACGCGCGTACCAGTGTGTATGTGGACGACCTTCGCCAGAGGGGCCGGGCGCGGTCGCCCAAGCTGGAGCCGCGGCCGCGGGCCGACGGGGGTGTTGCCTGCGAGGCGGAAGGCCGAGTGCTGGACAGCGCTGCGGCTGTGACCGCGTCTTCGACAGCCCCCAGCGGAGCCGCAGCCTGTGACAGCGCAGCCACCGCCGCCCCGGTCGCTGCCCCGCCGCCGATAGCAGTGATGGTGCGTTCCGTATCCTCGGCAGGCGGCTGCATTGCGTTTAGGATGTCATCCAGGTCATCCAGAACGTCCGCTGGGTCGGCTTCTAGGTCATCCATCGACGACTGTGTATGCAGCTGCTGCTGCTGCTGCTGCTGCCCCACAGCCAATGTTGAGGGCGGCTGGGCGCCGCCGCCGCCGTTGCCATTCGCATTATTGGCACGGCGGTCCCTGCTGCCCTTCAACAGCGCACGCAGTCTGGGCCGGCGGCTGGGCGTACCCTGCACAGCAAGGGAGCAACACCATGGTAAGGCCGAGGAAGGGCACATTACCAATTGGATATCTAGACCAAGGCGGTATTGGGGAATAATAACGAGGATAACGCGAAGGTCTTAGTATGTGGATCGGCTTGACACGGAAGCGGAAGCGGGAGCGGGAGCGCGCGAAAGGGCAAATGCGGCGTTCAGAGGCAGAGGCATCAACGCCACGTTCATTGCATGTGTTCAAACAAACCGAGACTTGCGCGCGCCGATGACCGCCGATGACTTTCCTGAGGTGTCAAACGGTCGCGGTCGATACGCAGGTGGCCTTGCCCATGCTTGTCACCCCGCCCTGGCAAAGCCTGTACCCTAGGTAACCTGATCCGACATAGCATCCCTCGCACCACCGCTTTCCCCCGTCCTTCCGTTCTCATCAGTGCCCCCGGTGACCCAACCCCACACCCTCCCACGAGCCTCAGCTCCACCGGAGAGAGAGAGAGAGCGCCGCCCCAACGCCCCCGGTACCCAACCCCCATGACACACGCGGGCAAAGGCTCAGAGAGGCAGAGGAGTGATCACTGTAATCACCTTATTTCCGCCGCCGTCACCATTTCCCAACTTGCTCCGCGCCAGCACGGCAATGCTTATTGAATTACTGCCCGCGGGCTGCAGCAACGCTCCACTGCCGGCGGCCTGCTGGGCGGCGGCGCGATTGCGTGCGAGCACCGCCAAGCTGACGGAGTTGCTGCCGGCGGGCTGGAGGGTTTGGGACCCGCCGCCGCTCGCGCCGGCAGCACCGCCGGGGCCCCCGGCTGCTGCTGCTGCTGATTCCTCGAAGGGCTCCGCTGCGAACAAGGCGAAGGCGGAGGCCCCCTCATTGAAGGTGGGCCCACGTCCGCCGCCGCCAGCCGGTGTGCCGGTGGCTGCCCCCCCAGCGCCCCCAGGTGCCATGGAGGGCGGGGTAGCGGGCAGGAAGGGCGAGATGGGTGCGGGCGGCAGTGGCAGCGGCAGCGCGGCCGGAGTAGAGGCTTCGGCGCAGTCATCAGTGACTGTCGTAGGCCGCGCGGTGAGATCCTGCCACAGGCCCAAAACCAGTATGGTATGGTAGCCACCCATAAGGGGAGCGGGTTAATGTAAATAAACCTCCCGACTTCAGAACCCAAACCGGAGTCCTAACGCTACCGCAGTAGCGGTGAGGGAGGTTGGATATGGCCAGCGGGGGGGGGGGCCTGAAGGGGAGTGGGAGAATTTAAATGTCAAGTCAGTGAAGTAAAACAACTGCCGACGTCCAAACGCTGTAAGTGGGGGAACCGCAACGGCCGCGCAGCAGCCCGGCGAGCTAAAGACGGACAGGTCTGAAACCGCTCGTGGTGCGGCAAGGCAGCAGGCAGCAGGCACTCCTAGGCAGGAGTGCAACAGCCCGTCCCGGTTCCGACACGAACAAGGACGCGCCGTCCAAGTCCTCCCGGGCAAAATGTCCTTCCCTTTGTTACATTATGCGGTTGCTGCTGCTGCAACACTACTGGAGAAAAACCACTGCCGGCTGACGTCCAAAGTTGCGAACTGCTGCTGCTGCTGCTGCCGCTGCTGCTGCCGCTGCTGCTGCCGCTGCTGCTGCTGGGAGCATGTTCATGATGGTTTTACGCCCCCTCGGATTATTCCCTATGTAGTCCCGCATCTCATCCCCCCCCTGGTACACCGTGTCACCCTCAGCCCCCACAAACACCCGCAACCCCAGCCTCCTCCGACAACACCAAGCTTTCATACCCTCGCCCACACCCACCGGTGGGGGCCCTAGGGACAGCGCCTCCCTTTCCGAGTCGGCGCCAGAGGTTGCAGAAGACTTGTCAGACGTCGCCAATGATTTGCCGCCAGTGCCGCCGGTGACAACGGCAGTAGCAGTAGCACCACCACCACCATCACCACCAGCTGCAGCAGCGGGGCCCGGTAGGTGCACTGTCGCAGTCGCAACTGGTATTGGCCATGATGGTGTCGTGGTGGCGGGCGGGCGGTCGGCGGAGGTCGGTGGCGGCTGTTGCGCCGGCGCCGCCGGTGCAGCGGCAGGGGTAACCATCCCTGTAGCAGCAGCAGCAGCAGAGGCAGCAGCGGCAGTAGCAGCAGCTTCGAATGCCGAAAGCGCCGCCGTGCTTCCGTGTGTGGACCGTTCGCTCACGGAACGAAGCCGAGCAGTCGCCGCCGCCAGCACCTGCTGCGCGGCGGCGTTGCCGGCGGCCTGCCCCGTAGCAGCGGCCACGACCGCTTCGGAGAGTGCCGCCAGGCCGCCCGACCTCATCCGGCTGAGGCTGCCGGCGCCGCCGTTGCTGGCGAGCGATGTCACCGTCCCGCGCGCCGTCGCCGCCGCCATGGCGGCCACCGCCTCCTCAATATCCGCGACTAGCTTGGCCTGCAGCGTCTTAGCAGCCAGCGCCGCGAGCTTCGGTACGCCGTACAGGCGGGACTCCATCTCCGAGGGGGAAAGAATGAAGGAGAAGGGCACATCAGGGTGGAGCATCTCCGTAAGGTGGGTGTGGTTGCGCGCAACGGCCACGTGGTACGGCAGCTGGCGGTTGGCGTTAACGTGGCGGCGCGGATCGCGGCGGCGGCGGTCGGTGATTGCGGGAGCATCTGCGCGTTGCGGTGGCTGGTACTGCACCTGTATACGGACGGGAAATTCGGGTGTGTACGACGGGAGGGAGTACCAGGGCAGTGCACACATGCCATCTAGTTGCGGTTGCAGTCTCGTCCTCCCCCCACAGTGCTCACATATACATATACATATACATATACATATACATATACATATACATATACATATACATATACATATACATATACATATACATATACATATACATATACATATACATGTACATATACCGCCCCACCTACCGTCCCGCTACTTTGCATGTCCCATCGAAACAGCGCAGTGACTCTCCTTTCCTTCCTTTCAAGGCAACTCACATACGCGGATAGGAGCAGCTTGACAGTGGCCTGGTTGCCCTTGTGGGCCGCCAGGTGCAGCGGCGTGCACTTGAGACACGAGACCACCCAGTCGCTGCCGCACGCCACGTTGCGCGCCGACAGCGACGCCTCGTACGAGGTGAGCGCACGCACAGACGCGGGGTTGTCCGCCCACACCGCGTAGTGCAGAGGCGTGTAACCCGAGTCGTTGCAGATGTCCACTAGGCTGCGGCGACGGGGGGGGAAACCGGGGTGGGCTGACCGGATAGCCGACCGAAGAGGTGCGTGTGTATTGTACGGCGACAGGGTTGCACCTGCACCATGCTATGCCGAACAACGACGACAGGAAACGAGGGCGGTACGACGGCCGCTCGGATGGATTGAGCCCGCCCATGCACCCGTCCGGAGCTCCGGACATCCCGCCAGCCCCACCCCCAAGGTGACGAAGTGCCCAAACCCCTTCCCGTCCCACTCTATCATCTGGTCATCCAACACTCAGACAGACAGACGGACAGACGGACAGACAGACGGGCACCGCACTTTTCTTTCCCTTAACCTCACAGGGACGTCTCACAACACACATGCACACACACATACCGTGTTCGGGGGGAGTTGGGCCGCCTCAGCGCCTCGCCGGCGGGGCCCGGTGCGTTGTGTGAGATGATGACCCGGATGACATCCACATGGCCCATGGAGGCGGCGTAGTGGAGCGGAGTGCGACCGCCTGCCGCGCCGGTGGGGGCGGGGCGGGGGAGGGCGGGGGAGGGCGGGGGAGAGCGAGGGCGGGTTCGGGAGACTGGAAACAACCGCACAGAAAGACCTGTCGCACCTTCCCCACTACCAACCAAATGTCACTTTTCGCCAATTTCTTCCCATCGATGTACGTTGTAAGTGGTATGGCAATAGTAATAGTGTATTAGTGCGCCGCGTGGGTCGTGGCAGGACAGGATAGGATAGCAAGCGGCATGCGGCCTTGAACAGCTAACATGGCAAGCACACGACATGGCAGACAGGAGGCAGCTCAGGCGCCGCAATCGCACGCGCTGCAGCCGCTGTCGCTGTCGCTGCTGGGAGCTGCTGCCGACTGCGCTGTGGCTGTCTGTGGCGAGTTCTCTACGTCGCTGATGCGGCAGCTGCAGTTCTAGCCCATAACGTGCGCTCCTGCTCGCGGCGCTGCTCGGTCCGCCACCCCGCCCTTCCTCCTCTTCACCTGCCCCCGCCCCTTGCAGGTGTGCTGCTGCGCTCCCATAGGGCCTACATGGCAGGCTATGGGCGAGCTGGAGGCGGTGTGTGCTGCAGCGTTGGAGGACCCCGTCGGAATGGAACGGAACAGACGCACGACGTCTATTGCCGCCCCCGCCCCCGCCACGGACTACGGGGGCACCCAATTCAACCCGCTCGCCCATACTCTCATGCGACGGCAAAGCTCCGCAACAACAATCCATTCCCACCGCTGTCCCCCAACAGCCCCTCTAGCTCGTGCTCGCAACAAGCTCATGCTCACAGCCTACCTGCCCCAACTGCCCGATAATCCAGGCTTGCCCTCCTCATCCTCTCGCATCGGGCATCTCACCTTAGCCCCGCCGGAACACCGGTGGTGAGGCAGTGCAGGCATTTCCAGCAGGAGCTTCCCAGGCAGTGTGTGAAGTCCCGCGACCCAAGTCAAGCACGGGCAATGTGTGTGCGCCCCCACGACAAACACACACTGTCACACTCAATCACTTGGCAACCCCATTGTTTTTTCCACGCCCAATCTGGCTGCTGCTGCTGGTGCTGCTTCCCAGGGTCCCAACTTGATCACCTTTTTCCTCGTCCGAGGAAACCACTTAACGCCCCTCTCCTCCACCCGAACCCAGCCCCACCAGCCCCAGCCCCAGCCCCTACCCACCCCCAACGCTTACCCAGCTCATCCCAGGACCATGGGGTGGCTCCCAGCTGTAGGAGCCTCTCCGCCATCTCATGATGCCCGTAGATGCACGCCAGATGCAGCGGCGTCTGGCCTCGCGCATCCTGGAAGTTGACAAAGGCGCGCAGAAGGGCTTCCGTGGAGTGGCCCATTCTGAGGACGTCGCGGTGCCGGGGGGCAGTGGGAGAAGTGGGCCAGGGAGGGAGTAAGGGGCCGGAAGTGGGCCGGAGTAGGAGGAGGTGTCAATCTGTCGTCATGTGTAACGGTAACGCGTGAGGCGTGGCGTTTCTGTTTCGCACTGAGCCCTGGAAGGGGGGAGGGAGGCTGTGTCAAGAGGGGTGTCCGCAGCCGGCCCCTAGGTTTGTGCCTGGTGCATGGCAAGGGGCCAGTGGCAAGGACAACTAAAGCGGATACATGGGGACAGGGGGGAACCCGTGCGACAGATCAGGTGGCGGGAATCGTAGTGCTGCTAGCGTATGTATTGCGTGCCTCGTGGCATAGACTAGTTGCAAATCCTTGTAAACGTCCCTAAGGAGCTACCTGATGTGAATACACATTCTTTGCAGTTCATTCACATGCAACTTTTGCGTGGAGGGAGGCTACCAGGGACGCTACCAGAATTGCGGGAGGTTGCCTAGTCGTCGCAACTAGAAGTTATGATCAACGGTAACTATGTCCCAACCTAGAGTATTGACCGAGCGAGCCTAAACACGACTGATCGGCCATGGCAACGGGTGTAAGCCTTTCAATGTTCGCGAAGGTTACCTAAGCAGGACCTTTTCCCGGGGCCACATCGGCACATACGGCATAACGCACCGTAACAGCTTCGTCCATTTATCCGGCCCGGCAGGGTTGAAACGAACCGCTTCAACGACGGTCTCCAGGACGTCTATCCGACCATAACGGGCTGCCAAATGAAACACAGTTTGGCCGTTCCACGTTTGCACTTTGCAAGCCCACTCCACATTTTGCAATATAGCCTTGTACAGGCAAACGAAAACAGCAATGCGAAGGCGAAAAAGTCGCAAAAGCATCAGCAGGCATAATCAAGAACTAATGACATGAAATTGAAAATAGTGCCATCAACGCTTGGCTGCTGCCTGCCATTAAACCGTCAACAGGGATGTTACTTAGTGTCATTTTCGAAAGAGTTATTACAGCGCAGAGGAGGCCACACCTGTTGAACAGCACGACAGTCTCCGTCCTTTGCCGCTTTTAGGAAAGCTGTCTCTTGACGTCCTTCTTTTGTGCAGCTGGTCCCCATCTTCCGGCGTCACCGCCCCAAACTCGTCGCGTGTAAGTTCGAGTAAAATCCATTCAATAAAAAACACATTTTTGTGAGTTAGTTTACAGCTCCTATGCACTGGTTATGTATGTTTAGACCATCAAGGAATTCTTTACTGACCGTGTACGACATTGAGTAATATATTCAGGAGTCGACCGGTGGAGTTGACGCAGCCGTTGATCCGGCAGATTCCACTGGATGCTGGTCGTGGGCGCTGAACCCTACTACTGATTCCATAACTCGGAGGATGAGGGTGCCCCAACACACTGACTGCCAGTTTCCGTACATCATTCAGGAAGCTGTGGGACAGTCGACCGTTAATCATTAATCCCAAATGGCATTTCCTCGTTGTAGGAAGGAAAATTGCATTATAATGCATCAAATGCACTCTATATCTTCACCCGCGAAACATCCGAGTACAGGAACCAACTTTATATTAGCAGGTAACTATATCTGCAATCACTCAGCCTTTAGATGTGCAGAGCCATAGCCGGTATACTGATGAGGCGAGGAGAAGGGAAATTAATTTCGTCTGATATTGTTACACGTCGTCACCACGACAACTCATGCCAAGATATTGGCTGTACATTGCCGATCGGACGTCCGAACACTCGAGTAGCTACCATAGCCCTTCAGTCGAAGGTCAATGGCCACAACGAAAAACCACCAACCGAGGCGTGTGGTAGACAAAACGGAGCCCGATACCTGACGGTAAAAGCCCTACACAACCACCTCAACCGAACACACTTCACCTGCACCGGTCTATGCATGAACCAAGCCCCGAAGCAATCAAGAGCACAAGCCTGTCAAAACACCAAACGAGCCATGGAACAGCACGGCAACGTTGATCATCGGCGAGCACTCCCAAAGCAGCAAGGCCGAAAAGATTCAAGCAACCTCCTCCTTAAGCCACCCACTTCTGGGCGGTGACCTCAGCCAGGTCGACGACACGCTGGCTGTAGCCCCACTCGTTGTCGTACCAGGCAACGACCTTGACCATGTCGTCGCCCATGACCATAGTCAAGGACGAGTCGATGGAGGTCGACTGGTCAGTGCACTTGAAGTCGATGGACACCAGAGGGGCGTCCTCGACGTGGAGGACACCCTTCATGGGGCCGGCAGCGGCCTCGCGGAAGGCGGCGTTGACCTCCTCGGCGAAGGTCTTCTTCTCAACCTGAGGGGTTGGACATGACAGGGATGCAGAGACCACAGCGTAAGGGGAAGAAATCCGGAGTTGGGTCAATGATATGAAGTGTGCTGAAGTCGCTGATTCCCAAATCCAAATCGTACTAGCCTGCAAACAGTGATGCAAATTCGCACCTGCACGACCAGGTCGACGACGGAGACGGTGGGGGTCGGCACACGCAGAGCAATGCCGTTCAGCTTGCCCTTCAGCTGGGGCAGGACCAGGGCCACGGCCTTGGCAGCGCCGGTGGTGGTGGGCACGATGTTCAGGGCGGCAGCGCGAGCGCGGCGGAGATCGCGGTGCGACGCGTCCAGCAGGCGCTGGTCACCGGTGTATGAGTGGGTGGTGGTCATGGTGCCCTTCACAATGCCAAACTTCTCCTGGAGGACCTGTTTTGGGAAACGAAAGGAAATGACGGAAGTAGAATGCAGAGGGATTAGAGGGTCGCAAAGATAGTTCTGTGTCCAGGTGCTGCGCAAGCGGAGAGCGTAATGTAGCGAGCAATGACCGTAGCTAAACTGTGGTGCAATCATACCTTGACGAAGGGGGCCAGGCAGTTGGTGGTGCACGAGGCGTTCGAGATGATCGGGTACTCGTGCTTGTAGTCAGCCTCGTTCACACCAACGACGAAGGTCGGGATGTCCTTGTCCTTCGCGGGCGCGGTAATGAGGACCTTCTTGGCACCGGCCTGTGCAAGCATAAACAGAAGCACGAATTCAGAAAAAGGTTAAGGCACCAGAACCAAAAATTAATTTTAAATCACATATTCCTTTGTAAAAAATGCTAATAAGAGATCGGAAACTTGCAACTTGGAACATCGCTGTCATGGTCGACTTTTAGCCGCACCCAAACTACCATCGCGAAGCCCAATTTAATATCTTACCTGGATGTGCTTGCCAGCGCCGACCTTGTCAATGAAGACACCAGTGCCCTCAATAACCAGGTCGACGTCCATCTCACCCCAAGGCAGCTGCAGCGGGTCACGGCTGGACACAATCTTGATGACCTTGCCGTCCACCGAGATGTGAGAGTCATCCACGATCTTCACATCAGCATCGAAAGTGCCGAGGGTGGAATCGTACTTCAGCAGGTGGCTGGCCTGCTTGACACCGCCGCTGTCGTTGATGGCGACCACGTCCAGCAGCGTGTTCTGGCGGCCGTGCCAGCAGCGCAGGAAGTTGCGGCCAATGCGGCCGAAGCCGTTGATGGCGACGCGGATCTTCTTCTCCGCGCGCACGTCAACGACGGCACGGGCGGCCTGAGGATGTGGTGCAGAGCAGAAATGGATGGTGAAATCTCAAATCCATGTTCAGCTGCTTTTGTAGCACTAAGAATGCTCATACGCTGCATTGAGTTAGGTAGCAGCGCCCTACTATGCGATGGCCACACACCCACCTTGGCGCGGACGCCGGCCTTCTGAGCCACCTGGCTGCCAGTGAAAGCGCTCTGCATTTAATAAGACAAGAGCACGAACTCAACTTGCTAGTTGAAGCAAGGATAAGGAAATTTTACTCGTTGATAACTTATTCTCGTTTTCAGCTGTACAGATGCTATAGATGCCCACCTTCTGGATCATGGCTGCCATTTGTGCTGGGACCCTGACTTAGAGTGAAGATGGAGGACCGTCAGTGCGCATAAATGTTGCCCGACCGCGATAAAGTACGGCTTATCCCGGCCAATAGGGCCTTGTGAAAAACCGACGTAACGCTGAAAGCGATGGCGGAAACACAAGGTGGCATCAATCATATCCGCTTAGTCCTGACAGTATTTATACAACTCTGTGTCCTTCTTGCGCGCGCATGCGCAACCTATTGGTAGTGTGAAGCTTCACGCTTCTGTTCGACTGTTCCCTACGCAATTGTACAGATCTAACCCAGTGGCCAATCAAAGCTGGCTGCAGCGCTTAACCATTTTTATTCTGTGTTCATCTATCCCGGAGACGAGTCTGTGCAGCAAGCGCTGATGCAAGCGTTCATGACGGGAAAGGTCAAATGCAGGCGAAATGCTGATAGATTGTCAGCTTGGATATTTCGGTGAGGGATCATTATTTCAGGGTTCAGCATCTTGCAATTGAACTTCGGAATGGGCGTGACATGTCTGCACTTTTGATGACGGGTTCCGCCGGTGCTGCGCATTTGGTTCGGATATGGGTCAACTTTGCGAAACTTTGCTGCTCGAACATATAGCGTCGACTTCGTATGGCGGGCTGACGGCGGCGTGTTAAAAGGGTTTCATTCCGCCGGAGCCTTGTGAGTTAGCTGTTGCAGTTCCAAGAAGTTGGTTTCGATGTCAGTTCCGATAGCTTATTAAGGAAATCTCAATCCATGAAACACCCAAGCCTGGTGTTTGCCAAGGTACGCCAGGCTAGGATGGTTGAAATGGCAGGTTTTCACAGTTGCTCGGCAGCAGGTACATGAAAGCATTGCATATGTTCCTATTTCACAATAACGGGTTATCATCAAGTCTTGGTTGCTCAAAATTACGAAGTATGCAGATAGGATTGGTCAGCGCGCTAGCAAGTAGGCTTTTCCCACCAACGGCGTCTAGGGTTAGGTCTATGGCGGTGTTGCGGTCAATCTACGCCTCCTTTCGGCGCCTTAATCGTCATGGCCCATACAACTCGATACTCATTGCTGCGGCGGCGCCGCCGCAGTCATCATCGACTACCTAGCCAGTCCACCCCTCTCTGCTTTCCTGCTTACCCGAGGCCTGTATCAGTCACTCGGGCCCCCCATCACTTGTCGTCAGGTGACCGACGACAACACCACATTGCTTTCACGCTGTATACCACACTGTAAATAGGTAAAACGAATATATGAAATATGATCGTCGCTCGTCACGCGCTTTTCTATGGATCCCACATGGGTGCTGGGAAAGGGAGCGCATGCAATCTGGGTCACAGAAATCACCAATGCATATTTCCCTGCGCGTCAAGAGTGCTGCATGGAGAACAATGGGGCGGATAATTGGGCGGGTGGACATTGGGCGGACAATGAGCACATGGTAGCTAGCTACCGCCAGCTGTTATTGGTCTTGCCATATTATTATTATCATTATTGTTGTACTGCAGTTGCTCTGTACAGCTATAGCCTCTCATGACCGCACAACACATGCAGGCGTGGGGGGGTTAGTGGGGGGTTTCAAGAGGTCGATGTCGTACATGTGATATACCCTTCGACGGTAAGAACGACGACATGCAGGGGAGGTTTTGCACTCGTGGAATTGAAGCGCCTTTTTAGCTTATGTATTGACGGAGCCCCCGCTGGGCTGGGGATGACATCAGAGGACTTCACTGATGCTGAACACACGACGGGTTGTTGCCGATGCGTGCACAATCATGGAGGTGTGGCGCCGAGGTACCTTTTCCTCGATCCGGATATGCGAGTGTTCCGTACAAAGTCTGAAAAGCTTCCCTTTAGTAGAGAACGAGCAGCACCAGGTGCCGGAAGTCAGCCCAGCCCCCAGACACCGCCCCCCCCCCGGAGGGGATTATTCCCACGGGGGAAGATTTCGAAGCAGGATATAGCGCCCAAACCCTCTCACCTCCCCACCTTGACACCAGCCGCGAGACCCCTGGCACACCCAGGCCCACCCACAACCCCCCGGGGGCGCCAATCCAGTGAATGTGAGGGGGCACCGAAACCCCTCCCCTCCCCCTCGCACCCCTCGTATGTCAAACCACCCCGTCCATCAAGTAGGTACAACCGCGGGGTGGAAAGCTGATCCTCATTACTGCTGCCTGATGCATGAGAGCCATGCACCTAAAACCAAAGGGAAACCATGGTAGAACCCAAAAGCCCCGAGATGAGCTTTATATCAACATGTGGATCGTTTCATTCTGGACACGTGCAAGTTTGTTTCGTCCGCTTTGGAGTTCGGGGAAAGCCTTCCGTGGGCGTTTGACTGCACGCCTGTCAGCTGCTTACATACATACATATCACCTCCGTCACATCCTCCGAAAACATTGTCGTCCAAAACACCCTTACACAGGATAGGGAATACAGCCGCTAGCGGCGAAAAGCTGCCCCCGGTTGATTCCTCTCGTCCGTCCGTCCACCCACTGCCTCTCCAACCGTACGTCCTCTAGGTTCCATTTTCTCCTCCCCCCTCTCCGCCCCCTCCCCCCTCCCGTGCCCCCTCCCCCCTCTCCTCCCCCTCCCCCCTACCATGCCCCCTTCCCCCTCTCCTCCCCCTCCCCCCTACCATGCCCCCTCCCCCCTCTCCTCCCCCTCCCCCCTCTCCTCCCCCTCCCCCTCTCCTCCCCCTCCCCCCTCCCATATCCCCCTCCCCCCTCCCATGTCCCCCACGTCACGTTTCTCCTCCCCTCCCCAACAATCCCGCAACTACCCCGTCGCCCCCTGCCGCCCCCCCTCAATGCTTGGTGATCTCCTCCTCTCCCAGAAGCACCAATCGGCGATAGTGGCCCAGCGCCCAAATGGGGAAGATGTTCCTGTGTGTGTTGGGGGGGGGAGAGAGAGGGAGAGGCGGGTGTGTGTATTTATGGGTGTACGCGGGAATGTGCATTGCAGGAAAAACCAAAAACTTGAGACGAGTGTACGGATGTGTGTTCGTGTTGGGAGACAGCGTGAGTATGATGCGCGGGGTTGAGGGGTGGCAGGGGGTGGGGACGGGGGAGGACGGGAAGGGGCTGCTGGGGCTGCGCCGGGGCTTCCGTTATATAGGAGAGGCACCGCGAAGAGGGGCCTGGGGGTTATTGGGAGGGCGGGATGGACACCGCCAGGGGGAGAGGGGGGAGTAGAACGCAGCGGTAGGCCGGAACCCCACCACCGCCAGGACCGCAGCCCCGTCCTACCCCCCTCCCGGAGCTCCCTGGTCGACCGCCACGGCAGCTGCAGCGCGACTTTGCACCACCGCCATGACCGTGTATGGAGGGGAGGCCTCGCTCCACAACCTCGGTTACACCGCCGCAAGGAATGACGCCATAAACTATCCCCTCCCTTTTCCCCCCTCTCCCCATATTTCCTTTTCTCCCCCTCCCGTCCCTCCTTGCCCCCTCCCGTCCCTCCTGGCGCTCTCATTCCCTCCCTCTATATCAAAGGCCCCTCCCCCCCCAGCCCCCAACGCACCGGTAGTTGGCGTACGTGATCATGCAGTTGCGGTTGAACACGCCGGAGATGTGCTGCTGGGGCCAGTCACCGCTGGGCAGCTGCATGCGGAGCAGGAAGCGAGCGGCTCGATGGAAGGGGGCGGGGTCCACCTGGTGGCGGAGATGAGGGGGCCGGGGGGGGGGTTGAGCGTGTTTGTGCGGGTAGGGAGGTGGGGGTGTGTGGGCGACCCGGTATTGCCCTCGCTCCCACCCCCCCACCCACCCACGCGCGCGCCCATCAATCCATCCATCCAATCCCGTCATGGTCCGGTTGTGTCTGTTCCGCCTCCAGCCCCCCGCCTCACCAGGGGAAACATCAGGGGAAACACACGCACACACACACACACACACACCTTGGGCCCCGTGCTCATGCTTACCCTGTGGTAACCAGCTGCCAGCAGCGCCAACATCGCCCAGGAGGTGTTGACCACGTGACTGTCGCCGTCAAGCTGGCTGTACACCTGTACGGCAGTAATGCAGTACAACAGTACGGGAAGAGAGAAGATGTTATCGAGCAAGCGACTGTGCGTATGTGTGTATATGTGCATGTGCGCGCACATCAAGCCTGCCGAGGCTGCTGCCCCCCTCTTCCCCCGAGGGTCCCCCGAGGACAGAGCTCTTGTGCGGACGAGAGGGCGAATGAAACACAGCAAAAGTGGTTTGCAAGGAGGAGGGGGAGGAGGGGTGCGCTTCGAGGACGCTGCAGGGGTTGGGACTTTTAAAAGATGAGATTTCCCCGGAGTGGAGGGGAGGGGGAAATCTAGTTGGCCCCAGTTCGGAGAGGTTGGGGGTTCTGGGGGTAGATTCGGGGAAGGAGGGCTGGGTTCGGATGCCGTACCTTGTCCTGGCACGACAAGTAGCTCTCGCCCCAGCCGCCGTCCTCCCGCTGCCGTACTGCCAAGAACTCGCAGCACCGCCGTACTGCCGGGTCGTTGTGGTAGTTATGGCCCAATGCCACCAGCCCCGTGATGCCAAACCAGCATGCGTATGTGAAACACACGCCCCAGGAGCCGTACCTGCGAGTACGACAAGTTGGCGCCGTCCCACTCACCCGCCGCCGCCGCCATGCATTCGTAATGCATCCTACATGATATTTACGCGCAGGACGGAATACAGGACAGTGCGGGAAGCGCGGTAACCCCCCTAGGACAGGAGCATCCTTTTTCTCCTTGGGCATCTGGTTTCCCTACTTAACTCCCCCTTCCTTGCCCCGCTTCCCCCTTCCCGCAGCAGTCTTTCCTTGGCATCACCTTCACTCGCTCGTGGTTCGTCCTCCCCCTTCCCGCCCCCCAGCCCTCCCCCCGAACCCACATGACCCACCATGACCCATCCGCTCGCTGAATTGAGCGGATGAAGGCCTCTGCCCGGCCCAGAGCTGCGGATATCTCCGAGGGGCGGTGGTCGGGGTGGCGCCTGGGGGAGGGTGGGGAGAGGTAGGGGGAGTCGCACAGGAGGGGAAGGGTGTGTTTGGGGGCCCGGGTTGGCACCAACGTGTCCGTGTCTGTATGCGGCAAATGACTCACATACCCGTCCGTACCGTGCAGCAGTCCGGCAGAAGCTCCCGGCAGCTGCGCACAGGCAGGCCGCCCTCCCCTCCTCCCCACACACATACATACATACAAACACGCGCGGCACACTCACCTTCCTCGAGCACACGGCGCAAACGCCCCGACACCCCGACACACTCACTCACTCACTTGCGGAATGCGGCCAGAGCGGTAATGCAGGCGCTCGTACACTCAACGTACGAATAGTCCACGATGATGTCACCGAACGTCTCGGCGGGGTTCAGAATCTGAATCCGCCATACATGCCGTACACAAGGGGAAAAGGGGCGCAAAGGAGGCTCTCGGCGCGGTCCAGACGGGGACTTGAGGCTGCGTGCGTGAGAGAGGAAGCGTGTGTGTCTGTATGTCTGTGTGTCGCAGCCTCACAAGGCCATAACGCATCAGCGGTGGTGAGCCCACCCAACCCCCCGAGCTCCCAAACCCCTCCCCCCTCATCACTGACTAGATACACAGAGCCACCACCCCGGGGAGCCGAGCTTTGTTACCGTTGCGGCCCTAGGGGGGCCGGGGCCCCCGGGGGGAGGAAAACCCTTCCCCCAGCGACGGGATGAAATCCCCGTATGTGTACATACGCATAATAGACGTACATACCTACAAACACACACACACATGCACCTTTCCCTCCCCCCCAAGCCAGGCCCCCTCACACACGCAGTACCTCCAGCCAGTGGAACGACCTCGTGTTCTCGTAGGTGGCCATGCCGCCGTCGGAGTTCTGGTACGACAAGATAACGTTGACGCAGTCGTACAGCCGCTCGGCGGGGATGGGTTCCCCCACCTGGGGGATAGGGTCCCGGCGCCAAATAGGAACATGACGCGGCGGGGTGCCAGGGGGCCACATACATACAGACATACAGACATACAGACATGCATGCATACATACCTTAGGCAAGTCTTCTCTGTGGGACTGGGTTGCTTGGTGAGGGACGAGGGTGAGAGCGGTGCAGTACGAGACAGGGTGAATAGGTTTCTGGAGGACCAACCGTTCAGGTTAGTGGCGGTAAGGGGGAGGCGCCGCGCGGGCTACAATCCTACCCCTGCGGTTTTCTGGAGGGTCTAGGAGCTGTGTGTCGTGGCAACGCTATCGCTTTTGTGATTTCGCCGGTCTATCCCCAGCCCCTGCAGTGGTAGTCGGGCTTGTGCGTGGTCCCTTTTCTTTATAAGGCTACTTCTCCCCTGGACCAGCCCAGGAAGGGACAGGTGGTGGAGGTCAGTTGTTTTAAGGTGGTTGCAAGACGTCTTGTGGTGTCGAGCTCTCTTAGCCTTTCCCTCTTGGAGGTTTTTTGTTGGCCTGCTAGGTATATCAGGAGCCCTCCCCTGCCGGGACTGCCTTAACCGAATTTTTATTGTTTGTTTTCCCTTAGAATCCCGTTTTCGTTGGTGGTATTTTGGGGGGTTGTTTCAGAGAGCCTTTGACTTTGCCCTAGCTGAGACTTGTGGACTCGCTCTAGCGGGACCTGAGAGCCCTTCGTGGTGTTTTCACTGCAGCGCCATCCCCGGATGGAGGGACTGCGTAGAGTATTGGCAGTCTGAGTCGGGGTCGGGAGCACACAAGACTAACCGACTTGTGCTGTGTGCTCCCGACCCTTGCGCTGTGTTTCGGCTTCGGCCCCCGGCTCTCGCGGCCCACAGTGTAATCTAAGTCATACCTTGTCCGCGGGCAGCCCTGCCAACGCGAGCGCCGCCTTGAGCCCCTCCGAGGAGCAATCGGAGATGGGCCAGCCGTGGTCCCGTGTGGAGAAGGGCCAGGCGCCCTTGGAGATGTGGCGGTAGTAGCGGTCCAGGGGGGGCGCGGCCTCCTCCACCACCTGGCTCTGCTCCACGTAGGCGTGTGCGCGGGCCAGGGAGGCGGCGGTCACGTCCAGCAGCCCCGCCTCCGCCAGGGCCTGGACAGCAAAGGACGTGTCCCACAGCTGGCTGCCGTTATAGCCCTGCATCTTGAGACCGTCCTCAGCAACCCACAAGTAGTCGGCAACTCGGACCAGATGTCTGAAAAAGGGGGGGGACCCGATTGTGTGTGTGTGTGTGTATGTGTGTGCAGTAAAGCAAGAGAAGCGGATAGAGAAGGGGTGTGCGGGGACTTGGGGGGCGGGGAGGGAAAGGAAAGCGTGTTTCGTGTATGTGCGTGTATGTGTGCTTATGTGTATGTGTTACGTATCGATCTGGGCCTGACTCTGGCCAGGGGCACCTAACCGTACCCCAACGGGAACGACCACCGAAACACCCCATTATTGGAGGGGCATTATATCGCTCAGAGTCCTTCTCAACCGTTCTCCCCTTATCGACGCAAGGCGTCGTCACCTGTTCGAATCCTCCAGCCAGCTGCATACACACCAGCCCAGATGCCCAGCAACCTCCGTTCCACCGAACACATGCTCTACAGCTGCGCAACCTACCCATGCAAGCACCCACACCGGTGCGCCAATCGCGCCACCCTATCCTTGCGAATCCTGCCGCCGCCGTCCGGTTTCGTTATCCAACCACCACTACCATCCAACCACCACCACCATCCAACCACCACCACACAGCCTCTGGTCCGGCCCCTTATGCCGTACTACTCCTTCCGCCACTGTTCTGCGGTAGCGTGTAGGTCTTCATGGTGAGAGCCCCCCACCCAGCCGCACACCACCCGTGGGGAACCTCAGTGTGGCTCACCCCGGCATGCAACACCCCGATCTATTTCATCCGGGGGCGGGGGACCAGCGGTGGGATCCGTACCCACATCGTCCGATAAAGCTAGACACCGTCTCTGGGATTCGAACCTCCGACTTGCCGATTACCGACTAGCCCGGTGCTCCATCAACTTGATCTACGGCGGCATGAAGGTTTGCGCTTTCTCCCCCCGGTGATCTGAAACCGCGGTGGTCGTGTTCCATGCCCCCTACCTACTTCTTGTACGGCAGTCCGTTCGGATCTTCCAGCCAACAGCACAGCATGTTGACGACCTTGTTGACCGGGCCGATGTCGATGTAGCGGGTGTTCTCATCCTGTGTGTGTGGAGGGGGGGGTAGGGGTAGGGGTGGAAGTGTTCGTACGGTAGATGTGGTCGGGAGATATTTTTGGAGTTTGTGAAAGGGGGATTTCCGGAGGAATTGAGGGACTTGGCCTCACCGCCCCGCCCCCCTCGGGGCAGGTGGGGCGAGTTCGAATCAAGGGCTCGCAGCCAACCAACAAACACAACAATGTGTTGGACGAGACAGAGAGTTGCCTGTGCATGTGTACTGCCGTTATCTCTCCCTCGCTGTTTTGAGTGTCAGTTGTCCGTGGCCGTATAACTGTACGGCATGCAAGCATGTTGTACTTCCGTACCTCGTAGTGGATGTGTTTCATGCACTCCTTCAGCGCCATGCGGCGAAGGAAGCTCCCCTGCAGTACGTTTTCCGCCCTGTACAGCGCCCACCACAGGACGTCCTGTTGGGGGCCCAACGGGATAA